AGCAAGAGCAAGAAAAGTGGGTACGGGTTATAAATCAAGAGAATTTTATTGAAAATATCTTAAATAAATTTAAAAAATAATATTCTCCCATGATGATATTAATGAAAACTGGACAATTATGTTTATTTTATTCATTGATGGAATTCCACTTCAAGTGTTGCTGGTTCAGCTTCTATAGATTCAAACACGTAAGTAGGTGGCGGCGGATTTTAGGGAAAATAAAAAGAATATGTGTATTAGAGTTCATGAAAAAGATTATTACTTTGAGTTCAAATTTTAAAAAAGATTTTTGTAAAAGACAAAGACTGTGACATTAGTTTAAAAGAAGAATGTGCTTTTGTTTGATAATATATAATGTATGTTAAGTTGTCAAGCATAACATATATTTGTTCAGTAATTTTAATGAATAGTATTGATTATTTATAATACCAAATGATTAACAAATATTTAAGTGATGGCTGAATACAATATGAATAAAATAAATAAAATTGGTATATTTGCATACAAAAATTAAGTTTTAAGAATAAACGTGTTACTAAAATACTAAGAAATTCATATTTTTGTTTTAATTGGTCTAATGTTATTTACATTTTACGTAAGAATTATACCGTATCATCGAAAAAATCGGCGTCTAGTTGGTTTGGAATGAACATCGATGACACATTCCCTAAATAACTGTACACATAAAATAATTAACTAGAATTTACAATCTTGGAAAATATACATGTATTATTTATATTTAAAAAAAAAAAAAAAAATTTTTTGATTTTCTTGAATTTAGTTCGGGAAAAACGCTGATTGATTTTTCATTTGGTTTTTCATTATTTTTATTTGGTTTAAAAAACGGTTCGCTAACATTATAGCCTCCATCAGTGTTGTGTCATATGAAAAATAGTGTCGAATATATCCAAAAATTGCATATAAAATATGCACAATTAACAATGCATGATATTAAAAAGTTATCATGACTCCATAGTCAATGTAGATAATTTTAGTGTTAAGAATAATAATTTTAAAAATATGTGTCATTCTTTGATAGCTTTTTATATTAGTTTATTAATTGCAGTAAACATTAAGTGAGGTGTGAATTATATTTGTATATGTAATTTTTACTATATTCGACACTATTTTTCTCATATGACACAAAACTGTGAAGGCTATAGTTAGCCGAAACGTTTTTTTTAAACCACGAAAACCTAAAATGAAAACTTAATCAGCGTTTTTCCCGAACCTAAAAATCCCAAGAAAATCAAAAATTTTTTTAAAAACAATATAAAATGCCAGCGACCTCATTTCATAGCCATCGCTGACGCCTTTTTTTAGATAATATTGTATTATTTGTAAATATAATTTTCGAACATTGATACTTGCAAAATATACATATAAATTTTGTGGAATGTAAAATAATAATACATCACTATTAGTAGATATTCAACGTTTTTTGTTAAATTAGATCGATTTTCAAAACCCCAAAATTTCTGCAAAAATATATATTTACATTTTACTCATTATCATATGTACCTATACATTATATGTACATTGTAAAACATTGCTGGTATGTATGTATGGTTCATAGTTTATTTTGCCAAAGTATTACTATGGGGCCAGGTATATATGTTGTAGCATAACTGTATATTGTATATCATTTAAACTATCATTTTTAAAATACAAACCAAAAATCTGGTGAATAAATTATGTTTTCCATGTATTCTACAACATATTTATTAACTGTTATATCTAACTATTAGCGTAATGTCATAAATCTCGCCCCAGGCTGATCTTTTAATAGAAGGCATTGGATGTTGCCATACTGTGAAAAAATTTCAGTAGATCTCTTATTATGTAATTTTCCTAGCTGGGATGACTGAAATGGTGTTGAGACAAGGGCTGACATCTAGTGAGCCGGCCGTGGAAGTTTTTAGGTATCCTCTGTCCCGTTTTAATGCAATGGACGAGAAAGAACACGTCGTTCCTATAAATCAGGGGTTCTATATTAATCTGAGGGGGCTGTTTAAGCCCCAGTCTAGGGTTGCTTTGGTGTATGCAGCATTTAATTATGCTGTATTAAACATAAAAGGCGAGGTTTAAAGTTTGAAATAATTTCGATCCCAATATCGTTCTTTTGGGGTCGACTTTCCGCCAACATGAGATATCAACTTGTTGAATTGTGATGGATCACCATGTGGCAGACAATAAAGTGATGAATCGATTGTTCTCAAGGTAATTATCAAAGATATTTTTATTTAAAATTAACTCTTTTTCAGATCCCCTAGAGATCATAGAGAATATTCAAAATTCCTAACTTTCTTTTTCCAAAAGTCGAGTCCTATGGCGATTTAACAACAAAGACATTTATTTTCTCTACTTGTACTTTGGTAAGTTTTTTTAATAAAAATAGAAATCCCTTTTAACGTAGATTAAGTTACTGTATCTAAAAAATTAGTTTGGCGTTAAAAAGGCGTTAAGAAGACAGAAAAGGAATAGTTTTAGTGTGCGAAAAAGTGTTGCGAAATAATCTTTTTTAATCGAATGAAATACCATAATCATTATTATATTAATCATACACACGATCTTTGTTAAAGTACTTTTTTAATAACAACCTAGCATTTTCTTTTTATATTTTTGTATATTTTTTTTTTTTTTTTTTTTTGTTATTTTTTTTTAGTAAGGTTTGTTTATTTATATTATTTGTTTTCCGGAGGGTTAACACATGTAGATCCTCTATGTGTATTATTATTTTTTTATTGTAATTTAACTGTCAAATATTTTGTTTTAGGTTTAATTGGTGTTATTTTTGCTATGGCTTTAGTGTTATATAGACTGAACACTAGAGCAAGACACCAGAGGTGTATTGAAGATCATATGGAGACGATTCATGCGATTTTAGGTAGAATTTCAGCTCTTGCTTAGTAAAAAATTGCAGTTTTTCGAATTTTCAAAGAAGGTATGCCTGATTTGGAAGAAGAAATACACATTCACGATGAACCCCCTGATTATGAACCCCCACCTGAGTATTCTGACGTTTTTAACATTTTAGAAAAATTGGATGGGGTGGAAACACCCATAAACAAAGGTAGGTATTATACAGGGTAAAATTTCAAACAATTTTTTGGCCAAAAAATCTTAGGGTCGAGGTATATCTTTATTCCAGTTAAAATTCTTACATTTATTAAAGATATACTCTGTATATGTATTTCAAAATAAAATATTTTGATAAGGGACTGTAATTTAATAGTCATCAGAGATCAGAACACAATACTTATACAATATGATCGAAAAAACTGGGCAAGAGCAATAGCTATGAAATTAAAATCGCTGTCATTTTATATGTTGTAATATATGGAATGCCATGGATTCCTATTTGCGCTGTCTTTGATGCCGTTTTTCTTCGATCAAACGGTATTCAGAAGAATTTAATGCCGTCAAATGTAGAAACAAGAAAATGTTACGCAGGAAGAACTATACATAGGATGGAGAATGATGAAAAGGGTCATGGTACTACAAAAAAACTTGACTGTCTGTTCAATGGAGAAAATTGTATTTTAGGTCAAATCCAGAACTAAGTCCTTTAAAAGCTCATGTTTGCAAGGAAAATTTGACCGAACTCAACGTTGCCAGTTCTAGCAGGAGCTGTCAAACCACACCTGTCAAAATACCGCGTTCTCCACCGCCTGCATATGATAATAACGGGCTGGAACTGGAAAATATACCGGGAAGTTCAAAAGATGTCGATGCAAACGGTAATTATTATTTATTTTATTTAAATTTAATAAAACATCGCTTAAAAATTAAAAATTTTAGAGCACGGCGATTGCTTTAATTTTTTTTTGGTTTTTTTTTTTTTTTTTTAAAATATTTATTACAAATCAATATATAAATAAATAGTATGTTACAGTCTCAAAAAATAATTTGGCAATTTTTGTTGTAGGTTAATTATATGTGCTCATTAGCTTTTTTATAATTATTCAATTATATTGGTCTTGTGCAAAGTGGCAATGGTGCTTCCTCAGCACAAGGCTAAAATAAATATAAGAAAGTGCTCTAGATGAATTCCCAGCTCTCACAAGTTCTTCTAAAATAAACCTCATAGGCGTGCTTCTGGGTTCGAAAAGCATAAATGTCCTTTTATTTAAAAATACATCTTGCTCTTCCCAGTGAGAACACTGAATAGGCATTAATTTTGTCACTTACCAGATGTAACTGATGCGCCAATCAACTGCTTCACCAAGATTTTTGAATTTCAAGAAAATCTTGAAATCACTTTCAACCAAATCTACCGATTTATTTTGAAAATTCAGTAGAAAATGGAATGGGTAACTTACGAAAATGCTATTCAGCTGTTTCGTCAAGATTTTGGACTTTTCATTCAATTGAAAATTCAGTAAAGCTTCTGTTTCACACCCGAATAGGATCTCTCGAGCTTTGGAAAATTTCACGAAAAATAGAAGAGGAATTTCAAGGAAATGCTATTCAGCTGATGAAGTATTTATTTTGAGGTTATGTTTAATTCTATGAAAACTACATGTTTTTGTATGATATTTTTTCATTTTTCTCTCAAACTCAATCTATACCTGAATAGATCACAATTTAGTAGAGTACCTCCTTATTAAATACATAATCTAACAGAAAATAAAATGGTTTTGATCTCTTTATACATTTTATTAAAAAATATATACACATAACAGAAGAACTTGGAAAATTCAATCACATTTTTCATTAATTTTTAAAAAAAAAAAAAAAAAAATTGAAAATTATATTTAACTTTTTGCTTGTAAGTTAGTATACACCCTGCTTTGTAATAGAATTATTGATATTAAAGTATATTTTGGTTTCACGGATTTGGACATAAAAAATATTGACAGCTATTTTTCAGCTTATAGCACAGAATATCTAGCTACGCTGCGTAGCTAGATATTCTGTGCTTATAGCTACTGTAATAAATTCCTTTGTGTTTGATTTTTTTATTGTATTTTTAGAACTACTTTTATTTATTTTCTTGTAGTGAGAATGCAGCTATCTATGGTTAACTTAAAATTTCATCTTTTAATTTACATAGTCACAGTTTCAGAAGTAAAATTATATATTATGACATCTTATAATAAATACAACATCAAATGAGGTAATATAATTAACTGTTATTGAGTTTTTTTTAGTTATACTGTTGTATTTATCCTTTAGACTTGACTTACTAACTATGAACGTATAACAAGAAGTGTTAAACAACTTCTACAATTGGTAAGTTTGGTGTTTTATACCACTGTACACGTATGCAGTGAAGAAATAACAAGAAAATCTTACATTTACTTATTAATGAAGTGTCCCGTCTATTCAAATTTTTCTTTTGCCGCTCTTAATTGATTACAGCACCATGCTTATTTAGTGAGAATTTTTGGAACTATTGTCTAAATGATTATGGCGCCCCCAAACGGAAAACTTTAAAATTAATTAAATAAAGGTTTCTTCCTTTACTATATATGAGTGGCGCCATCATGTCTTAAATATTTAAACTAATCATTTACAGATTTCTATAAAAAAAATTCACAGCTTCTGCTATCTAACAATAAATAGCTGAACTTCAATAATAAATTTCTTGGAATGTTAAAGAATTCTGCAATTTTAAGTTCCCAAAAAGTGCTAAGTGAGACCCATCTATGAATAAAATATTGTACTAAATTTGGTTCTAACCATAGAAATTTTTTTTTTTTATATCGGTTTTTAAAAGTAAAATATGAGTTTATTTTCAGTTTAATAACAAATTTTCTAGTTAAATATAAAATATACGATCCATATAATATATTTAATAACGAATTCTTAATATAATATATCTACAATTCGTATTTTTCAGCTTAATCTTTGAAGACAATACAATAAGACGTAACATTTTTTATTACAGATTCAGTTAGGTAATAATACAATAAAGTTTTCTTATGAAGATAAGAAAGGAGAATACATCAAGTAAAATGGAAAGAAGTAAGATTTTTTTTGGGGAAAATGTCTATGTGTACATGTATAGAATTTGGTATGAAATCCTCACCGATTCTACCCTGCTTTTCAATAGAGGTGTGGGCCGAGAAAGAGTAATGCTGGAGCAACAAAATTAGCATCCTTTTGAAAAAACGAATTCGCTACAATTCGTATTTTTAGTGCAATCATTGAAGTCAAAGTATATAACCGTAACATTTTTTGTTACTGATGCAGATATGAAATAATACAGTGATAAAAGCTGTTTATGCAGATAAAATGGAGAAAACACCATGAAAAATGGAGAGAAATAATATTTTCTTTTGGGAAGATGTGTACTTGCATAGAATTTCATAAGAAAATCTCACAATTGTACCCTACAAGCACAGAATATCTAGCTACGCAAGCGTAGCTAGATATTCTGTGCTACAAGTGTGGGCTAAGAAAAAGTAAAGCTGGAGTAACAAGATCGGAATCCTGTTGAAAAAACGGATCCGCCAAATGGTTTCTGCTTATAATTGTTGCCTTCAAATAATTTATGCAAATATCTCTTCAGAAAATTATACTTCCGAACATTCAGATGCATGGAAGCTATGCTGTACATCCCAAATCTGCTTTTTTTGATGATATAAAGATCATTTTAGTGGTTGTTCCATGCTGGTAGAAATGTATTGTTATGAGGAGATGCAGTGAATAAGGTAAACTATATTTTTTGTGTTGTTTTAGTGGATCTTTTATTTGTTACAATTTTTGTCTCAGTAAAAACAACGTAAATGAAATATTAATAATGCTAGAAAATACACATAGCTTTATACCGTATGATAAAAAAAACGGCGTCCAGTTGGCTTGGAAATGACAATCGATGACATTTCCCATATAATTTTACATATAAAATGACAGCGATCTTCATTTCATAGCCATCATTGACGCCGTTTTTATTTGATGATATGGTATTTTACTATATAAATATTTGTATATTACATTTCAGTATAATAATAATTGTTACTTCATATATATTTTAAAGAAAAATAGTTTTTAATAGAAAAATTTTACCTTACATGTATTTTTTTTAGTAGGTATTTATTATAACTGAGGTGTATCTTTTTTTAAAATCTACTATATTTTAGGTTTTCTATTGATGTCCTCACTCTCATTTTTTATAAGATATAAAGACAATAGTAGTATGCAGTTTAAAAATAATTTTGGAACCATACAAGGTTAGTGAAATATATTTTTCTTTAAAATTGTAGTTTTTAAATGGTGTATTGTATTTTTTTTGCACAGTAGATTTGTCATAAAAAGTTCCATTTGAAAAATACCATAACATAATTTATACCTAGTAGTTTTTGAAATATGTGTTGCCATTTTTGTACTAAATTTTCTGTTCAATTAATATTCTATCAAAATTTGTTTATCAAAACATAAAGTTAGATAAAAGCTGTGTTTATTTATGATATAAAATGGAGAATGTTTCATTTGAACACAAAAATTGCATCACAAACATGTTATATAAATTTTAATAGTTATTATTTAATTTTAGGTACTGTGATGTTGTTTTATTTCGTTCAATTATATGTTAATTATAATATAGTTATTGTTAGATGAAATGGAGGTGTAATATACTAGAGAGTTTTATTTTACTTATACTGATTTATTTTTTATAGACTTGGCTTATTAACAAAGAATATATAGGAAAAAGCGAAAAATGACTTCTACAAATGGTAAGTTTGGCATTTTATGCTACTATGCATGTCTACAGTGAAGAAATAACAAGAAAATCGCATTTTACTTATTAAAAAGCGTTTTCGTCTATTCAATTTTTTTTTGGCGCGTTTAATTGTTTATAGCGCCATTCTTATTTAGTGAGAATTTTTGGAACTATTGTCGAAACGATTATGGCGTCGCCATACGGAAAGTGCTTAAACTAACAAATTACAGGTTTCTACTTTTACAATGTGTGGGTGGCGCCATCATGGGTTAAGTATTTAAACTAGCCATTTATAGATTTCTGTATAAAAAAAAACTGCTATTGCTATCTAACGTTGAATAGCTGAACTTCGATAATAATTTTCTTTGAATTTTAAAGAAATCTGTAATTTTTAATTCCCAAAAAGTTTTAAGTGAGAGCCATCTATGAATCAAATTTTATAATAATTTTGATTCTAACCCCCAGAAAATATATTTTTTTGTATTTAAAATGTTGTTAGATAAAATAAACTCGTTTATTTTCAGTTTGATAACAGATCTACTGGTTAAATTAAAATGTACGATTTATATAATATATTTTACAACTAATTTTTAATATTATTTATCTACAATTCGTATTTTTAAGTGCAATCATTGAAGTCAAAGTATAAAACTGTAACATATTTTGTTACAGATGCAGATATGAAATAATACAGTGATAAGAGTTGTTTATGAAGATAAAATGGAGAAAACACTAAGAAAAATGGAGAGAAATATGATTTTCTTTTGGGAAGATGTGTACTTGCATAGAATTTCATAAGAAAATCTCACAATTTTACCCTGCAAGTGTGGGCCGAGAAAAAGTAAAGCTGGAGTAACTAGATCGGAATCCTGTTGAAAAAACGGATCCGCCAAATGGTTGCTGCTTATAATTGTTGCCTTCAAATCATTTCTGCAAATACCTCTTCAGAAAATTATACTTCCGAACATTCAGATCCATGGAAGCTATGCTGTACATCCCAAATCTGCTTTTTTTGATGATATAAAGATAATTTTAGTGGTTGTTCCATGCTGATAGAAATGTATTGTTATGAGGAGATGCAGTGAATAAGGTAAACTATATTGTTTGTGTTGTTTCAGTGGACCTTTTATTTGTTACAGTTTTCGTCTAAGTAAAAACAACGTAAATGAAATATTAATAATGCTAGAAAATACACATAGCTTTATATTTTACTGTATACATATTTGTATATTACATTTCAGTATAATAAAAAGCAGAAAAGAAATATAATAAAATAAGGTTAGTTAGTTTTCCCATAGCCAATGCTCTAACTGCCAATATGCACCTAATGCAAAAAACACCACATGGGAGAGCAAATCGTAGCTAAAATAAATTTAACAGCATACCGCTCTTTAGAGGACATCGCTTTTCGTAATATGAAAAAACAGTGTTTTCACTATGTATATTTGAAGTAAAACTTCTTACAAACAGTTATTAAATTGAAGGATATAAAAAAGCACTACGTGGGAAAATCACCAGGTCCACGCAGTAGGAAAATCACCAGGTCCCCGCAGAGGCAAAATCACCAGGTCCAGGCAGTGGGAAAACCACTAGGTCTGGGAAGCGGGAATATCACCAGGTCTCCGCAGTGGCCAAATCACCAGGTTCACGCAGTAGGAAAATAACCAGGTCCCGGCAGTAGTAAAATCACCAGGTCCACGCGGTGGGAAAATCACCAGGTCCACGCAGTGGGAAAATCACCAGGTCCCCGCAGAGGCAAAATCACCAGGTCCCGGCAGTGGGAAAACCACCAGGTCTGGGAAGCGGGAATATCACCAGGTCCCCGCAGTGGCCAAATCACCAGGTTCACGCAGTAGGAAAATAACCAGGTCCCGGCAGTAGGAAAATCACTAGGTCCACGCGGTTGGAAAATCACCAGGTCCTTGCAGTGGGAAAATCACCAGGTCCCCGCAGACGCAAAATCACCAGGTCCGGCAGTGGGAAAACCACCAGGTCCGGGAAGCGGGAATATCACCAGGTCCCCGCAGTGGCCAAATCACCAGGTTCACGCAGTAGGAAAATAACCAGGTCCCGGCAGTAGGAAAATCACCAGGTCCACGCGGTAGGAAAATCACCAGGTTCACTCAGTGACAAAATCACCAGGTCCCCGCAGTGGCAAAATCACCAGGTCTTCGCCGCGCCGTGGCAAAGTCACCAGGTCTCCGCAGTGGCAAAATCACCGATCGATGACATTTTCTATATAAATATACATATAAAATGTCAGCGATCTTCATTTCACAGCCATCGCTGACGCCTTTTTTTCGATGATACGGTACCTAATATTGTATTTTTTAAAATATGTAGGTACTTAGAAATGATAATTTCAAATAAGGCAACTATAAATATCATTAACTGTGTATAGAGTTGCCTATATAATGAGCTAGGATTTTTTAAATTATTTTTTAATAGTTTTTTAATTATAATTCAAATATTTCTAAATACAGCTAACTTAACCATGTTTTTTTTATTTTTTATTACTATTAAAAAGGTTCTTTTTGTTACAAAAATTCCTATATATTTTATATTTTATGTACCCTATCACCTATCAATTTACTGGTTATTTAGAGTTATACCGTATGATCGAAAAACAGGGGGCCCAGTTGGCTTGGAAATGCCGATCGATGACATTTCCCATATAATTTTGCATATAAAATGACAGCGATCTTTATATCATATCTATCGCAGACGCCGTATTTTTCATTTCATAGCCATCGCAGACGCCGTTTTTTTTTTGATCATACGGTAGAAGTAATATTTTTTAATCAAGCTTGTTAGTGAACAATTAATGAATTATTTCTGTATTTTTCTTCCAGAACCAGGACTTTCCAGAAGGGTAGCCAGAAGATGTATTTACCTCAACATAGACATCAGCATGTCCATCAGCCACCTTGGATTTTAATATACTTTTAATATTATATTGTTAATAATATAATAATATATATTATGTTAATAAATAAATAATAATTAATAATAAATGAGTTTTATTGGACTAAAATATATTATACCGTCTATTCGTGAACAACAAGAAAATGGCATTTAATTATAACAAATGTATCCTAATATTAACGAACTTACAAGTTGTTCTGGAATAGACAGTATTCTATAATATATTCCAGCATATTCAGATACAGATATAATTTTTCAGAATAATATATTCTGACCTGCTAAATAATCAGATATTTAGATCAAAAATTCTTGACAAAATGGTGAATGTAACTGCTTTACTCCTGGTACTGAAAAATACCGCCTCGCCACTCATGTGTTCCTGATATAAATTCAAGGCGTCTCACTTTTAACAAAAGCTGTCCAAAATAATTTCAACCTGACAAAAAACGGAGTACCCGACCAACGAGTTCGAACGAGTTAGATTTTTTCGAAAAACTGCTATAACTTCCAAACTATAAGAGATATCGAGGAACGGAACTCGGCAGTCGATAGGGAATTCAATTCTCTGTAAGGGTGCAAATTTAGGGGATGATCGAAGACAAAAAAAAAATTTTGGCGCAAATGAAGTAAGGTTAACCCCTTACCTCATTTTTCGCCAAACATTTTTTTTTGTTTCCGATCGCGCCCTCGTTTTGCGCCCTTATAGAGGGTTGAAATGCCTATCGAAAGCCGCCCTCCGTTCCTCTCTAGCCCTTATAGTTTCCGAGATATTAAGGGTTGAAGTTTGGAAACGAGTTCGAAGTGCTAGAGATAGCAGAAATATCGTTGAAAAATGCTTTATTTACGTATGGTACTAAATTTGCTACTTACCTCCTCACGCTTATGCAATCCTGATAGAAATCGGCGATTTTGGACACGGTTTAAAAATTTTCGTGCGGTCTTTGCCAAAAATTGAATTTTCTCGGATATGTATCAGGAGTACATAAGAGCGAGGATATATTGGTACTTAATTTGCTTTTTACCTCTTCACACTTATGTGCTTCTGATAGAAATCGGTGATTTTGGACTAGGATTAAATATGTTTGTTCAATTTTTATTAAAAGCTGAATTTTCTCGGATTTTTATCAGGAGTGCATAAGAGCGAAGAGGTAAAGGTAGGTATTATTTTTATTAAAAATACTGTCTATTCCTGAGCAACTTGTTTGGTTTCTTAGTATTAGAATACATTATTTTTGTCATAATTAAATAACTTTCTATTTGTTCATGATTAGACAGTATTTCTAATATATTTTAGTTCAATAAAACTCATTTACTTAATATTAATTATTATTTATTAACATATCATTTTTTATTAACAATAATAATATAAAAAGTATATTAAAATCCAAAGTGCTGATGAACATGCGGATGTCTATGTTGAGGTAAATAAATCTTCTGGCTACCTTTCTGGAAAGTCTTCGTTCTGTAAGAAAAATATAAAAAATAATAAATTGATTGTTCACTATAACAAGCTTGATTAAAAACTATTACTTCAATAATATGATCAAAAAAAAAATGGCGTCTGCGATGGCTATGAAATGAAGATCGCTATCATTTTACATGTAAAATTATACGGGGAATGTCATCGATGTTTATTTCCAAGCCAACTAGACGCCGCTTTTTTCGATAATACGGAACAATATGATGGAAAAAAATACGGCGTCTGCGATGGCTAGGAAATATAAATCGCTGTCATTTTATATGCAAAATTACATGGGAAATGTCATCGATCGTCATTTCCAAGACAACTAGGTAGGTTTTTTATCATAAGGCGCCAGCGATGACTATGAAATGAAGATTTTTTTTTCGATCATACGGCATAATTTTATAACCAGTAAATTAATAGGGTATAATTTATCTGAAGTCAGTCGGAATAGATGGGATTCTTAATTTTGGTGATATCTTTGGCGCCTTGGTTGGCATTGTCGGAAGGTCCACAGGAAACGTCAACGAACAAGAACCAAATTTAGTTAATTATTGTTTTTGATTGTTTAATTATTACTCTTAATTTAAATACTCTTTGTCTATATATCTATCATCGTAAAGATATATAACATGATGTTAGATGTTAATATTTAGCAAGACAGTTACAATTCGTTATATGAATTAGTTTTTGAGAAATTATATATTTTTTTTATTTTAATTTTTATTTACCAAATTTTTAAAAAAAGCACCTTCACCATTTTGTCAGGAATATCGATTTTTATGGCTCTGTCGAACAATATTATAAAATATATAAGAATCTTTGTACCAAAGAACTTTTTTTAAATGAAATACAAGGAAAAAAAATGGTCCAATTATCTGTACTTGTTATTAAGAAATATTTTAGTTAGAATAATTAAAAAAAAGATAGGCAACTCTATATACACGTTAAGGTATTTATGGTTGCATAAACATGAAATAAAATGAGCGCCAAAATGTGTTATTTGAAATTAATCATTTATAGCTACATATTTTACAAAATACAATAATTATTACGTTTTTATTAAACATATTAGGCTTAAAAATATACCTTTGAATATAATTTACCTAAAATTACTTAATTTCCTCTTGAATGATGAATTTTATTTTCAATCCACTGTTGAATGTTGATTTTAATCCACCTAATGGCATCTTGAAGGTGGTTGTTGAGGTGCAGCTGTCCCAAATATGCCATACAAATATCTTTCATAGAATGAAGATAATATGGGAGACAAATAAAGAAATAGAATTATAGGGAATTCAAAAAAAAAATGCATAACTTTGAAAAGTCTCAGAAGAATGACACAAAGAATTATACATATAAGAAGACTTAGAAATGCAATCAATAGAAGAGCTCATTGAATTGAATAATGGCATTTCCATAAGAATATATGAGAGACAAATAGTGAAATAGATATATATATAAATAAATGGTGGATACATTGAGTCAAATGCATAGATTCAGTAAGAACAGATATCACATTGTGCATTTTAACCCGATCAAACAATCGGAGGTTGATCACGTACTGTAAAAACCAACTGAAATAGAGAAGGCGACATTGCCACATCTCAAATTTGCGCCTATCTACTTAGTTTGATTTGCAGAAAAGGTGACTTTAAACCCTTCACCGGATATCAATAAATCTCAATTTCTTAATTAAATTTATAGTTTATTTTTAAAGAAGCATGCGTAATAATATGTTATTAACCAGAGGATATATGCGTTACTATTAAAGGACATGTTTACTGTTTAATGTGCTGAAACGTCTAGAACTATTGGCAACGTCGCTGCTAGTCTTCCAGAATGAAAGGAGCCGTCCGTCCCACCACCCCTCGCGACGGCCCTTGATCCGTTATAGCGTACTACGTTTAGCTTACGGTGTGTTTGAAGTCGGAATCAAGTCCGAAGTGAACTTTTCAGTGTTTTTCATTAGTTTTTGTTTTTGTTTAACGTACTTTTGAATCTGCGAATTTTCAATATGGTAGGACAGTGTCAAATGTGTGGAAAAATAAGCTCAAATTACCCGAATTTGTCTTTTCACAGGTAGGTATTGTTTCCGCCGTAATCGTACATAGGCGTCCCACAAGGGAGCCTCTAACAATTAAAATAATTTTTAATTATATTTGTTGAATTTTGATCTATTAAAATAAGAACGTAGTAGCCGGTAATTGAATTATAATTCGTCTCAATTACTACCTAACTGTTGTAAATCATAACAAATTTGAATATAAACGTTGCATTTGAAACTTTATTATAAGCCAGAAAAAGTGACATTTTTTTTAAATTGCGTCCATATTTTGGTCATTATATACGATATTCTAAAGGAATTTTGCTCAACAAATAAACAAAGGTGTTTACCTGTCCTTTTTTACATTTTATTGCTTTATTATATCTTATATAATCTGTCCCTTCGATCTTGTTTAGACAATTTTTTACCACCGTACAATACAAATACCTCTTTCTAGAGTTATTTGTGCGGTGTGTTTACCTTTTTTTAGAATGGGATGAACTGTAAATAATTCTTAGGCTACTAGTTTTATACATACCTATATACAGAGTGACCCAGGCCTCCAAAAAAGCTTTTTACCTATTACGTTTTTGGTTTGTGATTTTTATTTCAGTTTTTTACATAAGATCAGGGCCATTGTAAAGCACATTTTCAAAATATTTTTGTCAACATACAGGGTGATTCAAACCGCAATACATATGCTTAATATGAGGATTGGGACATTTAACTAAAATTTGATTGTCTGATGAAACTACCTAAGTAATGGATTTGTAAATAAACGTAATATTCATTATTATGCGACAGAAATCCCACACTGTAGCACACAAATTTGATACTTTTAATGATACATGCCTTCTATTGAGAGACTAAAAGGTAATTGCCTCGTATCAGAGCCATCATAATACGAGAAGAAGACCGACAGTCAAATCTTGTCTTATATTTTCACTTCTTGTCTTATTAACACAATTTTCTCATTAAAATAAATATTGATTTTAGGTATAGGAAGTTATTAATAATACAAGATTAAACAACTACACAGTACTTCACAGGAAGCTATCGCTTGCGAACTAACTAAATCGTAACTAATTACTAATTTTGAAAAGTTCTTTTTAAGATCAAAAAAAGTAAAACTAAAACCTAAACTATCATTTGAGATTAAACGGGAAGTTCTAAATAATGTTGCCTATTCTAAACAAGAAAAAATTATTTATAAGTTTTATAACATTTCTAATTAAATTTGGACGAAAAGAATATTTCTGTTTGCTGTAGGTAATTTTCTCAGGAAAAATACGTAAATAAAAATGACTTTTTAAGTAAAAAAAAGTCAAAAGGACAAGTTATTCCAAAAAAGGACTGTCCTTCTCAAAAAAGGACAGGTGGCAACCCTAGGTATTTCTGGAATGGAAATTTAATGGCAAATCTACAACTTTAGTTTGAAAATATGTTCCGGCCACCTATGTTTACAAAAATGTCTAAAATGTGCTTTACCATTGCCTCCATATTCTAAAAAAAATTGAAAGAAAAGTCACCAACCACAAACCTAATATAGAACTGTTTCGGAAGCCTGAGTCACCCTGTAAATATTCAAAAGTAACTGAAAGTTTATAGAGAAGTAACTGACAGTTTAAATTGAATATTGACGTTGGGGCGATTTTCGAAAACTATCTACTAACGTTTCAACATAAGTATATGTGGGATATTAATTATATTATTATATTAGACCTTATAACAAAACTCATCTAACGAAAAAGTGTTAATGTAGTATATTAATATGGAGTAAAAATTTTACTAATTACTTTACTTTTACTTTACTACTTAAATTCGTTCCAAAAAACGACACGCCACTGGCCATTAGAACAATCCAAATGTGCCTAGTTGCCGGGGTCGGAAATTTTAGACTTCCCTGTCTCTTCTGTCCTTGTTCGATACATTGGAATGTTTGATACACTACCAACGAGTATTTATGAATGAGATGTTCGGTCTATCTTTATAATGTCTTTGGTCAAATGGCATAAAAATGAATAAATCACAAAAAAATATTCAAATATATAACACAGTCATTGGAAGAGTATTATACAGAATTAATGAATGATATTCCAATAATAAAGAAAATATAAGTGAAAAAATTAAATAGGGATATGATGAATTGGATAAAATGGCATAAACATGGAAGTTGAATTGGGAAAGAATGGCATGAAAATAAATAAATAGCTATAATGCTAAACAGACAATAGAATTGATGAAATATGTGTCTCAGAAGAATGACACAAAAAGGAGGAGTTCATAGAATTGATGAATGATGATATTGCATTAATAAAGAGAATATAACAGACAAAAATTTTATAACAGAGGTAGGCCAAAAGCCAGAGAAAAAAGTAAACAAATATATGGTCAATAAGAAATGGGGAATTGACAAAAAGCTACGCTTAGCCTCCTCTCAGAAATATCTGGTCAATATATGACATAAAGCACATAAAGAAAAAATCCTCCAGAGCATATAGGTTCGCCTCCCTTCATCAGATTTAACCCTTGGCCGACGATTAAGCCTCGCCAGTCAGTTCCCATCCCAGCTAAGCAGCCTCGTCTCGGGTCACCCTCGTCACCCATCGAACGGACATCCACCGGGACCCCCTACAGGCGGACCCCCCTCGTCATCTTCAATGTGTCCGATATCCCGCCCCCTCTACCGTCGAGACGTCACGGGATACGTGCACGAAGAAGTCTCGTAGCTTGGGTGCCAGGTCGTATCCGGCCGAAGCCTCTAGCGTTAGAACACCTAGCTCGTAAACCAGAGGGTGGTGACTCCCTTGGGTACCTATGCATGCTACATAGGTCATCGATGGCCGAACATCAGGGTTAGGGGGTGACCCGGGTTTCCTCCTCTTAGGGGAGGCTAGCTATGATGCTCTGGAGTCGATGTTACTTGGCAAAATACTAGAAAAGCCAGAAGTGACATCAGCTGTGGACGTCAGTTTTTTTACATCAGAAACACATCACAGAAATTCATGGCATATGATCTGCAAAAAAATGACTTGGAAATAAATCCATTAAAACTAAAATTCTGTATAAACAATTAAAAGAGCAAAAAAAGTATTAGAAAAATGACACCATAAGAAAATAATACAAATAAAAGAAGACTTATAGAAATACAATCAATGGAAGAATTGAATATAGAATCAATGAATGATGTTTATCATTCCCATAATGAAGAAATATGAGAGTCAAGATATTATAGAAAAATGACAGTTCACCATTGAACAACATAATGTTCTAAGTACATAGTATCATACCAAAAAAAAACATAAAAAATATAACTCAGAGACCCAATGAAATTTTTTTTCTTGTTTAAATTTAAAAACGATGAAATCCACTGATGAAAAACCAGTAAAATATATGTATTTTACCAATTTTTGATATACTCAAGTCCTGATGCATTGTTGGCAATATTCATGAAAAGGATAAAAAATGTACTGCCCTGGAACTGTATACATCCATTGATTTGTTGTACAACATCTGTAAAAAAGAAATAAATATCATTACGCTTTATTACAATTTATATCTACATTTTTTACATAGTTTTTTTTTAAATAAAACCGACATTTTAGTTTTATAACCGAGAATAGTTTATTTCTGTTGAACATTTGGGTCAAACAGAGTAACTCACTTTAGATAAACCAGACAAAAATATACTTGATATAAACTGAAACTACGACTACGCGGTACAAAAGAATGAAAAACGAAATCAAAGACAACTTATAGGACAATGCAATGAACCTGCTGAAGGCTCTCAGTTATCGGGCTCATTATGAACTTTCCTTCTGTGTTCAATATAATGCTTTCTAAATTTAAAATTTTGTTCACAATAATATTAGGTATTTGTTAAATACATTTGATTAAGAAAAAAAAACATTTTAGTATAATTTACCTAAAGTTATTTAGTTAACCTTCTATGATGAATTTCATCCTCATTCCACTGTTGAATGTTGAATGTCTAATATAATTAGTATGATGGCATCTTGAATAAGATGGTTGATCTATCGATTTATTGTACAAAATCTGTAATAAAAAGAAATACACAATATTACATTTTATGTACTATAATAATCGTGTACTTTCTTTTGATTCATATTAATATTAAATATATCTTAAAATAGAGTTAGCTATTAATAAACAAGTAATAAATTTATTCAAATTGATTTGAAAATAAACTTACTTTTAATCAGATAATGGAAGACCAACTCGTAAAACAAAATGATGGCCAAACATCAGGATTATACAAAGGATGACCAAGGTCTCTTCTTTTAGGTGGTCTTTATGTGCTCTTGTGTATCATCAATAACGCCCTTAAAAAAGAAAAAAATATATAATTAAACATTACACTAAAACAATGCAAAATTGTTAACAAAAATCAGACGATAGTGTATTAGTATTAAATATGTGTTAATAATATTTTATTTCATCTGAAAGTATTATATAATTATTGAGAATGGTACCCCCCTCTAGGTATACTAACACTGATTTATTCTAAACAACATAGAAAATACTCGTTTGCCTGTATAAACACCAAAAAAATTATCTTTAGGAACAAAAAACCTCTTGAAACTCTGCGAAAAAATATGGTTCAAAAAATACTGAATAGCTCTAAATATTAAGCATTATTCTAAGTAACTATACTTTTAATATATGATAGGGACATCAGGGAAAGTATCTATACTCCAATTAACGATTTTGAAAAAGGAAATTATGGAAATGTCAGTTTTTAATGATGTAATTGAAATACTTAAAAAAAACATAGAGAAAATTATTTCTGTTTTTGTTTGCCGTTGTTCTTAGCGACCGCTATAGCAGCGCCAGATCGCGTATAACGGTCGCGACCCAAAATAATTTCGCGACCCAAAATTTTTACGGGCTTTCCAATCTAAACTTGTTGCATTTATCTATGTTTTCTATCAAAAAACCGGAAAAATTTTAAGAACGACATAACGACGCCATGACAACGCTACAACGGAAAATGTCGAATATCAACGTTGTCAGTTGTCAGCTTGAACACATTTAAAACAGAATAATAATTTTTTGTTGCATAAATGATGATGTGTATAAAAGGAAATATATTATTTATTTTACTGAAAAAAGTTTGTGTTATGTTTTTATTAAATTTATCATGATTTTGTGACGGTTCAATTCATTTTAAACTTACAAAAATATTGATTTAGAGTAGTTTTAGGATTTCGCTAATAATTTGGCAACCTTGGGAATACTTTAGTTCCAAATTTTCTCACTTTTTCCACAATGGCGCCACCAGCGTTCTTCTTCTTTTTTATATTTCAGGCCTTAAAAGAATGGTAACCACAGAATAAAAGCGACGTTCTTCTTCTTTTTATATTAATGGTTCCAAAACATGGGTAACCACAGATTTGACATAGATTTCTTCTTCTTTATTTTTAAGCAGCTTGAACTTATATAAGTCATCTGGTCAGTGTTCTGAAAAAAATATCGGAGATATCTTTCCTAGGAGAAGTCCAATCTATAATCTATGGATAATTTAGACAAAGAGCGAAGAAAATTTTGCCGTACTTGGCGGGAATTTAAGAACTTCCACACATTTTCTAGGCCTTACGCGACTATAAAGGCCTAAGTCTTGGTGGAAAATATACGAAAAAGAAATAGAATAACATGTCTTTTTCCTCCCAACTTAATTTCTTCTTGTGCCTACCTAAATTTCAATTTCTATACAATATAACTAAAAAAATATAGTAAAATCAGTGAAATAAATCAAAAGATCTTTACACAAAAGGCATTTAATGGGCATTTACAGAGAAGCTTATTTAATCAGCAAACGTACGTCTTAAAAAACTTGTAGAAAACTACATTTTACACGTAAAAAACAATTTTTTACTGTAAAGTCCATCTCTGCAGCTAGGGTACCTCGGGGTCGCTACACCCGTACTCACAAAATGTGAGTCCCTGAGGGAAACAGTTAAGTATTTATAACAAAAATAAGACAAATATATAAAAAAGATTTAATATAAATATAAAATACATCCTTAAAACTATAATCGATGCTAAAATACCGTAGTAAAAACAACAAAAAAATTGCATTCATCAATAATAAAGAGAAAATAATTACAAAATAAAAAAATATTTAGGATTATTCCATTATTTTGGTAAAACAAATATACAAGGTGATTATATAGCTTATAAGATTAGAATATATATATATTTACAATAGATCAGTTATACCGCAAAATCGAGAAAAAAAACAGCGTCAAAAGTGCCCTTTCATTAAAAATTGACATAAATATTTGTCAAAAAATAACTAATTGAAAAACAAATTTGATCGTGAGGTTAAATGACGTATAGGAAAACAGAAATTATCATCGATCCTCATTTCAAAGGCTACCATGACGCCGTTTTTTTTCGATCGTATATCAGAAAGTCACTAAAGGCAGTCCGTGACATTAATATTGAATTTTTAAGCACCAAAAAACACTAAAAATGTGAATATAGTTAATATTTACAAAAAGATATTATTCACAATAAAAAAAGATAAGCCTTATTACACCTACAATAAACAATACAAAAAGTTCTATATACAGAGTGTTCGCGTATTTTTTAAGCAATAACTATCTCCGTAAATATTGGTTTTAGAGAAAACAATAAATTGCAAAAAATTCACAATTTTGTCTAAATCGCTACATACTATTTTCGAAAAATGCCAAAAAAGTTTATTTTTTGTAAATTAGTAAAATATGTACTGTTGTCTATTCAACTGAAGGATGGTGGTCCAATGCCTTCTATTAAAAGATCAGCCTGGGGGCGAGATTTATGACGTCACGCTAGTTAGATATAACGGATTAATAAATATGTTGTAGAATACATGGAAAACATAATTATTCCTCAGATTTTTGGTTTGTATTTTAAAAATGATATAGTTTAAATGAAATATACATAATATACAGTTAATAACTACAACATATATACCTATTTATAGTAATAAATACTTTGGCAAATAAACTATGAACCATACATATGCAGCAAATGTTTTACAATGTACAAATAATGTATAGGTACATAAGATAATGGGTAAAATGTAAATATATTTTAAATTTTGGGGTTTGAAAATCGATCTAATTTAACAAAAAACATTGAATATCTACTAATAGTGATGTATTATTATTTGCATTCACAAAATTTATATGTATATTTTGCAAGTATCAATGTTCGAAAAATTATATTTACAAATAATACAATATTATCTAAAAAAGGCGTCAGCGATGGCTATGAAATGAAGATCGCTGGCATTTTATATGTTAAATTATTCTAAAATTTTTGATTTTCTTGGGATTTTAGGTTCGGGAAAAACGCTGATTAAGTTTTCATTTGGGTTTTCATTATTTTTATTCGGTTTAAAAAAAAAAACGTTTCGGCTAACTATAGCCTTCACAGTGTTGTGTCATATGAGAAAAAATAGTGTCGAATATAATCCAAAAATTACATATACAATATAATTCACACCTCATAATGTTTACTGCAATTAATAAACTAATATAAACTTATCAAAAGATGACCACATATTTTTTTAAAATTATTATTCTTAACACTAAAATTATCTACATTGACTATGGAGTACGCAGTAAACATTATGTGCGTGGTGTGCATATTTTATATGCAATTTTTGGATTATATTCGACACTATTTTTTTTTTCATATGACACAACACTGATGGAGGCTATAATGTTAGCCGAACCGTTTTTTTTTTAAAACCAAATAAAAATAATGAAAAACCAAATGAAAAATCAATCAGCGTTTTCCCGAACCTAAATTCCAAGAAAATCAAAAATTTAGAATATTTAGAATCAAGGTTCAAGAATATCAAATTTTCCAAGATTGTAAAATTCTAGTTAATTATTTTATGTGTACAGTTATTTAGGGAATGTCATCGATGTTCATTTCCAAGCCAACTAGACGCCGATTTTTTCGATGATACGGTATAATTCTTACGTAAAATGTAAATAACATTAGACCAATTAAAACAAAGAAATATGAATTTCTTAGTATTTTTTAGTAACACGTTTATTCTTAAAACTTAATTTTGTATTATGCAAATATACCAATTTTATTGTTATTTTATTCATATTGTATTCAGCCATCACTTAAATATTTGATATTAATTTGGTATTATAAATAATCAATACTATTCATTAAAAATTACTGAACAAATATATGTTATGCTTAACATACATTATATATTATCAAACAAAACACATTCTTCTTTTTTAAACTGTATCAGTCTTGTCTTTACAAAAATCTTTTTAAAATTTGAACTCAAAATAATAATCTTTTTCATGATCTCTAATACACATATTCTTTATTTTTCCCTAGATCATAATACCTACTTACGTGTTTGAATCTATCGAAGCTGAACCAGCAACACTTGGAGTGGAGATTCCACAATATGAATAAAATAAACATAATTGTCCAGTTTTCATTAATACCATCATGGGAGAATATTATTTTTTAAATTTATTAAAGATATTTTCAATAAAATTCTCTTGATTTATAACTCGTACCCACTTTTCTTGCTCTTCCGGACACTTTAGGCTGCCTAGTATAATAACTATCCTTAGTAACCATCCTTTCCACCAGGAACACAACAAAGATGAGGCATAGCACCAATAACACACTCCACTTAAGCTTTATTGATGAATTGTTAGAGTCTTAAAAACACACACAAAAATCACGATAAGTAAAAAATGTATGGGCACTTTTAGGTTAAATCACTTGCACAACGTGTAATTTTAAAATTTCTATTTTTGGTGCGAAACCGAGAGTGACCATATATCTGGTAGTAGTTTATGTCACTTCAACACCAAAATAATTAGTTTTTTGCACTACAATAATAAATAATACCAAAAATCAAAGAGTTAAAACCAAAAATCAACCGACAAAATATGAAACGGAATCTAACCCAATATCTAAGTATGTACAGCTGATGAAGTAAACAAAAGTCCGCCCGTAGGCTGATCTTTTAATAGAAGGCATTGGGTGGTCTCTGTAATCAGGAAACTTTGGCAACACATTTTGCTAGGGTTGGGTAGAAAATTAATTTTCTACGTGTAGGTAGAAAAGTGCGTAGAAAATGTAGAATATTAAGAAAATGTATAAAATCTGAGAACAGGTACAAAAAGTTTTTATTCTTCCTAGATTTTTTTTATAATTTTACAATAGAAAGCCTGTGGTTTCATAAACTATTGTACCGCATGATCGAAAAAGAACGGCGTCAGCGATGGCTATGAAATGAAGATCGCTGTCATTTTATATGTAAAATTATATGGGAAATGTCAACGATCGTCATTTCCAAGCCAACTGGACTCCATTTTTTCTCGATCATACGGTAGTTTGTAGTTCTTAGTTCTTACTTTCATTTTGTTAGATGTAAGTTTTTGTTGTTAAGTTTATAATGTATCTAACAATACAGGGAATTTCGACAGACGACGTCCAAAAAAATTACAGAAATACAATATGCCTATGAATTCTAATATCGCAACAGTCCTGTCATGAATCCTCTCGAAGTTAATAGTTAAGTTTTTTTGACATACTGTATACTATCCATTTGTTAAATAATAAAAAACGATAAGATATATCGCTATTAGTTTATTTTTTGTATTAATCGATGTGATAAAAGTATTATTTGAAATAAATATAAACTCAAAAAAGGCTTACAATATACAAAACTAACTTTCTACGTCTGGACATGTAAATAATGTAGAAAATTAGTTGGTGTAGAAAATACTGTAGAATATATAAAATTTTCTACCTACCCAACCCTTCATTCTGCAGATAAAACCAAGTAAAATTGTGTGTGTACGTAAGGATTTAATAGCTGTTAGCTGTTAGTAAGGATGTTTGAAAAAGTTTGGTTTGAAATGTCCAAAAAGTCGTAAATAAAAAAATACTTTTTAGGCGTAAAAAAATAGTTTTTTACGCGTAACAAATAGGTTTTTACGTGTATCAAATAGTTTTTTATGCGTAAAAAATAGTTTTTTACATGTAACAAATAGTATTGTATGCGTAAAATAAATTATTTGTATTAAAACATCAATATTTTTGATAAAAACGTGGACTGCTCATAAGTAGACGTCGCGTCACTACGTATTTCTAAGCCTTTACCCCTAATTTTTAAGTTCTTATCTATACAGGGTGTCCCAGAAATAAGTGCAAGTATTTTAAGGGGTGGTAGATCTGGTCAAAAGAAAAGTTTTTTCTCTTTACCGTTTTTCAAAAGTCCAAAATAACCGAGTAATTTGAAAATGCCCAAAAAAAATGATTTTTTGCTAAAGTTTTGAGAACCACTGGATTTTTTCTGGATTTTTTATGTAAATTTAAGCTACTATCTATGTTGCCATATTACCAAGAAAATATATTTTTTAACTTAAAACTAAAAAAAAATCCAAAACTTTTTTCAACAAATTCCAAATTTTAAAAAAAAATTTCGCAAAAAATACCTCATTAGGTGTGTTTCTGCCGAAATATATTGCCAGTTAAAATACTTTTACTTATTTCTGGGACACCCTGTATATTATATTTGTGCCACGGCCTTGATTTTTTATCCCCAGCGCGCGTAAAGAAGTTCCACTTCAAAAATACAGCTCATCAAATTGTTTCGTGTTACTTTGAAAATTTTGAATAAATGGCGATTGAGACAAATAATACGTGAACATAAACAAAATTATCACCCGGTATACTGATAAATATCACTTTTCCCTCTTCACGTCATGTGCAAAATCGTGCGCCAGAACCTCTTCCTCAACAACACGATACCGTTGTACAGTTTGACAGCTGGCCCGACCTTGAAATGCAACAGCTGCACTATATCACGTTGGCTGAGGTGGAGCAACGCCTCCCCATCCACCTCATTGGCCAGGAAGTTCGCTACGCTCGATTCACAGCCGGGTATGGAACTGACGAAGTCAACGACGTCATCGGTGGACCATTCCAACGGATTATCGTGGGGTGAAACATAGTTGTTGAGGAAATCCGAGTGTCTCTTCCAGGACTCTTTTTCGGCGGGGTAGATTCGGGATTTTTCGATTATTTTTTTCGCTTTTGCGATCGATTGGTACTGTGTAGATGTGGAGGAACATTTGCTCGCGTCTTCTTCGCTTTTTTCGTGTTTTAGTTTGGGGGATACCGAAGGGTGTTTTTTCTTGAGTTTCTTTTCGGGGGGTTCTTCGCTGGGGGCGCTTTGTGAATTGGAGGCTTCCAGTTCTTTCAGCCATTTCGGTGGCCTACCTACCCTGGGTTTCCTGAAAAAAAAAATATTTTAAGAGTCTATTACGCTGTACTGTTCGGGTCGCTCTCAGGGGTCGGTTAAAGCGATATATATATATTCATATTTCAGAAATCTGCTTAAGGCTTAGCCCGATCCTGTCGTATTAAGCCACACGCAAAATTCCAAACACACGTGCTTTGATTAAGGTTTGATTAAAGTTTGCGGAGCTTCAGAATTTGTTACAAAACCATATAAATTATATATCACTGTAATCACATAACTTCAATCTATTTCCGTATAGTAACGGAATTTTAAATTGTCTTTATTTTCGAGAAAATTTAGTCCAAACATAAGGAATGTTTTGTTGAAGTTTGACCATCAAAATCTTAAAAATAAAGAAGTTAGTATAATCCTTTATCTTTAATTTCCTTCTTCATTTGTGTAAAAATAACTAGCCAGTTTTACATAAAACGTAATTTTGCTACTTTTTCGAACTAGTAAAATGGACTTTTAAGTTAACGTCTCTAACGTTTGCTGCCTTTGACATTAAGTGTTAATCAGACAATTTATTTCCTTCTGTCAGAAAACTAATTTGAATTTCGTAGTATAAATACTGCCGGCTTGAAACTTTATAAAGTTTATTTATAAAAATATCTCGTATTTCGCTCTTTAGTGATATTTGTGCTGATCTCTAATAGTTGATATTAATGGTAAGATGTCAAACTGATGATAAATTGATTTTTTAACAAAGTGTCGTAATACGACATGGAGATTTATATTGTTTTACATCACCATGACGTTTAACGTCATAGGCTATTGGTTAAAATCAAGAAAAATATTATTTATTAATTCATAAAATTTTACAGTGAATTCAGATATGTAATAAAAAATGGGGGTACCCATTTAAAATAAGTTGCTGTCAACTTCCGGTATTTCCGGAAGTGCGGCCATATTGAAAATAATTTTAATCGATAGAACAGTCGTTGTGAAACAATAATGTGCAAAAAATCTCCGATCTAGATATTGTAGTTTACTAGAAACTTCTAATGCACGCTCAGCCTGGGACACCCTGTATATCCTGGTTAAAAACACAAATCGATAAAATATCAAGATACAACTTTTAATTCGGCATTAAATGGCCTACACGAGTCTACTAACAAGAGAAAAACATTATTGGCGCACATGTCTTTTTTAAATATTCCAGTGATAACCCATATCCACGTCCCTGGTGAATACACTCTGTATAGGAGAACCAATAAAAGTTGGCGTGTATGTCATCAAAATATCCGAAGAATGCACGTCGCAATGTTGCCAAGACCACTTTTTTACTTTGACTCTCCTGACCAGTGTCAAAAAATTAATTATTAATAAAAAAAAATAATCTGAAATGGTGGATTGTAAGAAAATAACTATACTAAAACATACACAGTCATGTCTACTTACTGTTTATAATCCTTTGGTTCTCGGGACACAGGAACTTTGGCCTCAGGACTCCTGTCGGGAGTGAGCAACCTGTCAGGAATGATTTTGTCAGTGTCAACGTTAGCCTCCGCATAAGGACAGTACTTCTGACTGGAATGCGTGCTGTGTTTCAGTCCCAGTTTGTGTCCTTGTCCTCTACAACCCACCGTGGGACATTCCAAAAAGTCATAGACATCATCAGGAGCTAAAAGAAAATAACAGTAAAAAGAAAAAAAAACAATAAAAAAACAAAAAAGAAAAAAAAAGAAAGAAACAATAATAAAGAAAAAAAATAATAGTAAAAAGAAAAAAAAAACAATAAACAAATAAAAAACAAAATAAAAAAAAATAAATAAAAAAAATAAAGAAATTACATAGTAATGGTGAAGTGGATAATAAAAAATACTTACTCAAAGGTGGTTCCATGGGATGGCCTGTTTTTTGACACCAGCCCACTGGATGAATGTCGGGGCTGTCATCGTCGACCCAATAGCTGTATCTGTCAAGCCATCCGTCAAAATGGATTCTGATTTGGTGTTCTTTTACGTCATCTACCGTGGCTACCCTGATCAGGTGTGGAACCTAAGATTATAAATTATAATAATTATAGTAACATCTAAAATTTATAAAATTTATAATATTTATGGTATATTAAAAAATAGTCAAAAAAGGTACCTTCTAAAAATAGTGAATCTATGTTTTGTTTTACAAAAAAAACTTACTCTTTTGTCCACACATTCCAGTCTCATGCCTCTTTTGAATCCACAAGCAGACCGTTGTTTGAAAGCTCTTACTGGTGCTGCCACAGCCTTCTTTTCTTTAAGATATTTTTCCCAAGTAAAATTTTCAGGTGTCGGGTAATCTACAAGAAAAAATAAACATCAAAAAACCATACCAAAATTTAATAAAAAAATATATTTTTTTATAGATTAAATATTCAATTCACAACTTACCGCTAGGGGGAGTTAAATTATGTCCATACTGATCGCACCACCCTACAGGGTGGATGTAGGGTGACGTAGGGTCCGCCCAATAATCGTAAATGTCATCCCAACCGTCAAAATGGATCAAAAGTCTGTTGTCCATCATGTCTCTGACTGTGGCAACGCAAACCAATGCCGAGTCCTTCTTGTCCACCGCTTCCAACTTCATTCCTATTCTAAAACCATTTGGACAGATTGCCTGAAAGAAATCAATATTTTTTTTATTATTTGAAAAAAATACAATCTAAAAAAATCCGATGATTGCATTTAAAAAGTAGAATATTGTTTTATTATGAGTAAAAATAATACAAAAACCGTACAGGCAAGTTACAAAAAGGATATTTTTAATCCAAATAGAACATTGCCGCAAATAGGGGTTGCCACGTTCAAAAATTTTCCTATTACTTTATATGGGTCTGGCAACAATGCGTCGAGCATCTGTAGCTCCTATAATAAAAAAACTAAAAGTGCAATCTTAAAATATGTATTTCAGGAAAATATTTTAAGTTCTACAAGATGGCTCAAAAAAGCATGAGTGGATTGGGATGATTTTATTTAAATGGAACACCCTGTATATTATTCCATTTTTGTCTTCCTTTTAGATCAGTTTACATAGTCCTACGATATTATTAAATTGTTTCAGAAATATTAATAAATAAATAAAACAAATATTTAACTTTTTTAAAACAAAAATATTAAAAATACAAAAAAATGTTCTGAAATAAAAATTACACTAGGTAATTTACTATAGTTGGTCTGTACTTACTTTACTTAAATATACGTAATCTTAAACCATACAGGGTGTTCAAAGTTCTATGCCAAACTTTCTAAAATATAAAATAGCTTTTCTTGGTTTTAGAAAGTTTATTTTAGAAAGTTTGGCATAGAATTTTAAATACCCTGTCTGGTTTAAAATTACGATATTTATAGCAAAGTAAGTATAAACCAACTATAGTAAATATCCAGTATAGTTTTGATTTCAGGCCATTTCTTGCATTGATATTTTTTTTAAAAAAGCTGAAAAAAAATATATTTCTTTATTTATTTATTAATATTTCTGAAACGATCAAAACATATTTAATAATATCCTAGGATTATGTAAAGTGATCAGAAAGGAAGCCAAAAATGCAATAATATTCAGGGTGTTCCATTTAAAATAAATATCCTGATCCCACTAATACCTTTTCGAGCCACCCTGTAGAAGTTAAAATATTTTCCTGAAATACATCCTAATACATACTTTCGGAGTGGACTTATCCAAAATTCCTAAGTTTTTTATTATAGGAGCTAGAGATTTTCCGACGCATTGTTGCCAGACCATAAATATAAAGTAGTAGGAAAAACTTTGAACATTGGCAACCTCTATTTGCGACAACTTTTTGATTGGAACCCTGTTAAAAGTGTATTACCCTATTCTAAATATACCTAAAAATTAGATTTTGATAATAATAATAAGTATAATAATCCTGCAGCCTATTTCTGGTATTAAATTATTCTAAAAAATATATCTTTGATTTAGGTGTATATTTAATCATACCAAACATTTTTTTTTAAATAGTTTTACGGCAAAAAAACTTTAAAAAGTCATTTCGTTCACAATAAAATACATTTAAAAACTTTAAATAAATAAATAAAAAATTTTAAACAATTAAAAATCTTACCTGTCCAGCTCTGTTGGCAAACAAATGCTTCGGAGCAGCCGTGCTCTTCGTATCCTTCAAGTACTGCAACCAATTGAACGTCTCGTCGGTATACCCAGGCGGAGGCCTCAAAACATGCCCGTACTTCTCGCACCAACCCATCGGAAAAATATCCATACTATCTGCATTCACCCAAAAGTCATAGTTATCCGAGTACCCATCGAAATGCAACCTAATCCTGTACCCCACCGTATCCATCACAGACAGAACACAAAAATAGCCTGGATGCTGTGGATCGACCCCTTCCAGCTTCATACCGATTTTGAACCCATTCCTGTTATATGGAAACGGGTCTTTGAAGAGTTTAGTTGGTGCAGCTTTAGCACTGACGTGGGTTAGGTACTTTGACCATGAAAAACCCTTCTTTTTGCATGCCCAGGGATACACAAATTTGTCTTGGTTTGAGTGGTTTGAGTTTTCTTCGTCACCACTGTCTGCGTCTTTTATGTCATTGTCTGATTTATTTTTACCAAACTTTCTTTTTTGAGGTTTATTATTATTTTTAAGTACCGAAGAAGAGGATGCGTCGGGTGGTTTTTTAATGATGTTCAGACAAGCAATCTGACACTCGTTACTGCAGAAATTCGATGAAATAAAGTCAGATCTGATACCGTAACATCCACACTCCAGACATCGTACTTCTTTCTCCATATCTTCCTTGATTTTGGCTTCTTGCTGTTTTTTCTCAATCATTTTCTGGTGATCTTCTTCCAGAAGGTACTCGATCATACCAAACTCATTTACAATAAACTTTAAATCACTTCCTGGAAGGGTTCCTATACCATCCTCCCATTTCAGGAGTTTAGCTGCGTTTATGTCGCTCTCGCTGAAGTTAAAAATGTTCTTCGGATCCGGAACCACCTCAGGTTTGGGCTGTTCCTCATTTTTAACCTCTTTCTCGACCTTCACTTCGACTACCTCAGGAAGTTTACTGGTTTTTTCGGTTTTCGAATCGAAAAAACTTATCTCCATATCATCGAAATCCTTTCTGAAACTAAAAGCAGACTTTCTTCGATTCTTTTCTGGTTTTGAAGTTTTTGGTACGCTTGTAACAGCAGTTTTTTCCTCAATTTGACTGTTGGTACTGGTTATAGTTTGATTGGAATTATTTTGGGACGTGATAAACTCAGGTTTGTCCAGTTCAAACAAGGCAGAAGGGAAGTTTTTCTTCAAAATCGAGACTCCCGGAGTAAAAGTTGCTGTTTGCTTTGAATTGGCATTGTTGTCACTGGAAGAATTGCTATCAACTGAAGAAACCACAAGCCTGCTGTCGCTCTGGTTACTCGAGGACTCTTCAGCAATTGACAGTTCATAAGTCTTGTTGCTAATATCGTTTTTTTCGACTATAACATCAAGCTTATCAGCAGAAACCGCCGGTTTTTCTGGAACCTCGTTTTTACTCTGCAAAATACTTATCGGATTCCTAAAATTCGAATACTGCAATTTGCCATCCGAAATTTGAAAATTATAAATTTTTGGAATTCCTGAACTCCCAGAGTCGTTAGGTGGAACCGGCATCGGTAATACAGTGAATTTTGACTGTACTGAATTAGTTGTGGCTGTAACAGGAGGTCTGTTTGATTGCACCTTCGGCATAGGAGCCAGTAAAATTTTCTGAGACGACGTTCCGCCCTGTATAAAACCATTAGTCTGTCCTATCATCTTAACTTCAGTTATCTTAGTCGCATCTACTGCAAAATCTGCAGGTTTTGGTACTTGCTTCAACATTGTGACATAAGCAGAACCACCCTTACCCCCTGCTGGTACTATTGCCATCGGTTTAGGTAAAACCACAGGACCACGACCAGAAGTCAAAATAACATTTTTACTAGAGTTCGGCTTGTTTGTGTAGCTTGTTGTGATAGGACCCAAAATAAAGTTGTTATTATTGCTTTTGTTACTCATAAAAGAGGCCTTATTATTATTTTGAAAATAAACCAAAGGTAAAACTTGTGCCTTCAGCGCGGGTACAGCGTTTTTAGTAGAGCTGGAGCTCATTTCCTGCCCTCCTTGATTGTCCTCACACTTTGAAATTGTTATGTCATCAGAATGGTTTTCGATCACAAGTTTTGTTTTGCTGGGATCAATTTCCGCAGGTAAATCGATTTCGGATTCTACGGAATCCAGTCGGTCCACGGAAGAGTTTGAAGCCATTATTGTATCTAGAAAATGTTTAGTTATATGATAATTATATCTAAACAATAGAATTTTATTATCAGGGTAACATGAAATTATCTGATATTTACATTTTCTTATAAATTAAAATATAGGGCAACTATTACACAAAGGACGCTTACTGTGTATCAAAAATAACTCCAAGAACTAATCAGACGTCTGATATAAACAACGCCAGCGAGAAAAACTATAAATTTGCAAATCTGTGTTGTAAAACTGTTGAGTATAAACTTTTATGAAATGGCTAAGTTTGGTAATATCTCTATAGAAACTTTAATTTGAGCTTGATAAGGAGAAATTTCTAAACATAAACTTACCAGTTATTCCTATCCGGAAGGCCACTTTCCATGAAAAACTGAATTTTCCGAAAAATAAAACTATTCCCAAATACCCAAGAATAATTCCTCCAATAATTTGTACGGCGCGTGCGCAGTAGAAACTCGCGGTAGGCGGGGGAAGTGCGGAAAACTGTGTAATTTTCCCGCCGCACTAAATTTATTTTAGCATTATTCAAAAATATTACAATTATTTAATACGCTTACACTAAAATACACCGTTAATAAAGACCAGTAATTTTTTTACGATGAGGATTACTATCGCACCGTTGTGGTAAATTTCAAATTACCGACGGAGAGTGTCGGATACGGAACCGTTAATAATAAGATGGCGTTGTTGAGCATTTTAAAACAAGAAAATCAATATTATAATATCGTTTAAGATACTAAAATAATCAATTTTGATATAAAACGAATTCGTATGCTTTTGTATAGAAAATTAAATTCAAGGAGAAAGTATTCTACATTTCAGAGATAATAAATCTAAAGATGGCAGGCGGAATAAATGCAAAACGCACGCGCTTATTTTATTTTTTTTTTCGTCAGTGTTGCCAAGCTAGTCGTCCTTACCTAATAAGGTAAAGAATAACAATCCTTGGTTTTCTATTCAGAAAAACAATCAACAATATTTGGAAAATATTAAAACATAAATAAATATAGGCAAAATGATATAATATGATTTCAAGTTAAAGTGTTGTGAAATTAGTTCATTTATAACTATCGATATCGAAAATGGCAACATCGTTTTATAAAAACAGCTGGAAATTGGTTGTTTTGAGCAGATTCGACTTTGACGTTTTTTTGTGATTACCTATCTCAATAAATAAAAATACCGTGCATAGAACGGATAGAACGTAGATGGGATTATATAAATATCCTAATATTAACTAAGTTATACAGTGATGTTACCAACGAGTATTTAGATACTGTTGTTGACTATTATATGTCCAAAAAATCTGTACGATTTTCTATACATCCATTAAGGTAAGACGATGTCAATTAGAAATATTTTTGTCAAGTGGCGCAGTTATCAATAAACAACCATATTTAAATGTACTTACTCCGATTTATTCGTTAATTAGTGCAAAGCCGGTGTAAAATGGGGGGAGCTGTGAGTTCGGGACGCAATAATGACGATCTTATTGATAATCTACTTGAAGCAGATTATATTAAATCAGCACAAATAGAACGAGTATTCAGGGCAGTAGATAGAGCCGAATACTTTCTACCGGAGTTCAGAGGAAATGCTTACAAGGATTTGGCATGGAAAAGTGGAAATCTACACCTGTCAGCACCCTGCATCTATTCAGAGGTCATGGAAGGGCTTTGCCTAGCTCCAGGACTGTCCTTTCTGAACTTAGGCTCTGGAACAGGGTATCTCAGCACCATGGTCGGACTAATCCTGGGAACAAACGGGGTAAATCACGGGATTGAGCTTCATGAAGATGTCATTTTGTATGCCAACAGGAAACTGGAGGATTTTAAGAGGTATTCGGGTGCTTTAGATGAGTATGATTTTTGCGAACCGAAATTTAGGCAAGGTAAAGATTAAATATCAAGGGATAAATACTTGGTATATAGTTACTGTTTTTATTTTATTTAGGGAATTGTTTGAGTCTTACTAGTGAGTGTACTGCACTGTATGATAGGATTTATTGTGGTGCAGGGTGTCCAGAACAGTACAAAGATTACATGAAGAGTTTGATTAAAGTTGGAGGTGTCTTAGTTATGCCTATTAATGACCAACTTTTTCAAATAAAAAGGTAAGTACAATTATTGTTACCTTTGTTTCTATTTTAATATTAAAGCGGTTTTAACAAAATCGCCAATTTCCATGACTGTATGTATGGAAAGTTTTTTTTTGCACAATTTCAATTTTCTTAAATAAATAGTAAACGTAGTCCTAAAATTATGAAAATTTCAGAATTTATAGCAAATTTTATGTAGATTCCGAATATAATATACACATTTCAAGGCTTAGATATTTAGGTTTTGTGAGAAAATTATTTTTTTGGACCATTATTTTTGAGCAATTTTTGATAATGGTTGAAACGTTCATTACATCCATTACTGTTCTTTTAAGGATACAATAGCCTATATTTTTTTATTCTATGCCTTTTAGTTAGTAAATCAAAGCAGTTTTAATAAAATTGTCATTTTCCATGACTATATGCATGGAAAAAAGTCAAAAATGCCCATATTTGGCTATTTTTTACACATTTTGAATGAATATATTTTTCCAGAACAACTAAAGCAGAATGGAAAGCAAAATCGCTACTACCCGTCTCGTTTGCCTCACTTATTTTACCTCCAGAAGACTTTCAGGACTTTGTCCATCCAAGTAAGGATAAAATTGTAAAATAAAAATTGTTCTTAGACATTTTTTTACCATTTGTTTTCTTCGGTTTAGTTGAAATTGAACCACTGTCCCTGCAAGTGTTATGCAGAGCAGTGGTACGGAATATACTGAGAAGAAATATAGAAATTGACCATCCCCCAGCAAAGAGGGTGAAGTTCAGGGCTCCATCCAAAGAGCCCAAAAGAAAAAGAGTGTTGAAGAGGCTTGTTGTGCCGTTGTTTGATGATGATGAGAGTTCAGATGAGGACAGACACGTTAGAATTGGTAATTATTGATTTGATTTGGATATAATTTTTTTCTTTAAATTGTAGTTTTCGGATAATTTTTTTTTTGTTACTTTTACAAATTTTCTATATAAAACATGACATTTGTTTCACATTGTATTTACAATATGTAACACTCTCTACAGGGTGGCGCGTCTCGTACGACGCGGAGGTTCCAAAATGAAGAAGAAATGTTAAATTTCAATAAAAGCTGGAATTTACCTACCGGGTATAGCCTACTATCCTTGTTTATGTATTCTTAAAGTTGTTCAACCGACTAGACAAAATGTGCTGCCAACTGGAGGACAAATCGTGAACCTTTCGGGGCGGAGTCAAAAATATCGATTATTTTCGTTATTTTCCTCAGAGTAATGTAATAATATAGCCCCGGGTTTCTGCGAACTTTAATAGTGATCAGCTGATTAAGAAATTTAAACGAAACTTTTATTTTATTGTAAATTGTGGATTATTTTTGCCTGTTATTTAATACGGTTTAGAATTCTAAACCGTATTAACAAAGGAATTATTATTTCAATATGTTGGTACATTATTTATAATAATTTATGATAATGCTAATATTTAAAAAAAAGTTGCATACCTATTTTAATTTGATTTAATGCAGGTTTATAAAAGAATCATTTCATTCTAAGATTATTTTATTCTAAATTGTGTGTTTTACGATATTTTTTTTGAAAACATAAAACTTTTTACATTTTTGATGCCAACTAATTGGCATGGTATTATTGGTATGGAAATTAGTCAAGAGAGAAAAGAATTGGCTATAACTTGTAATTTTTCGAAAAAAACATATACCTATATCGCTGAAAAGCTTAAAAAAACGGCGCTTTTTATGAAGTCATGGCCAACTATATATAATCAACAACCATTTAAAAAAAAATATAATGTTTGTGTCATATGTCAAAAATGACAGGCTTTAGAAAAAAAAACAGGAAACACAAACTCATTAGGTATGTGATTATCTACAACTTTTATCTGAAACTTTTTGTCTAAAATACCATATGATCGAATAAAAATGGAGTCAGCGATGGCTATGAAATGACAATCGATGATATTTCCCATATAATTTTACATATAAAATGACAGCGATCTTCATTTCATAGCCATCGTTGACGCCGTTTTTATTCGATGATACGGTAGGTTATAATGGAATTAGAGAAAAGTTTTAAAATAGCCAAAATTTGTTTTTTTCGAAATATCTAGTAAGCTTTGAACTTCTCCGAAAAATCCGAAAGGCGCATATTTATGACCCTACAAAACTGAAATTATTCTTTCCCCATTTAACCGACTCTCTATCTCCAGTAGTTTCCGAGATACCCATAGAGAACATCGATCGTAGGAAACTCACCCTGTATAGTATTTAGAAACTAATAGAAACTAACTGTTATTACTATTTGACTAGATTAATTTGATTAATAAGACTCGATTAATTTAATTTAAAATAGATTTGATCAGATTTTTTTTTCGTATATTCTACTACCAGAAAACCAAAATTATATGATAACGCACTTTTCAACGAAGTTGAAGGAAGATATAGTGTATCTATCATAATACTTAATAGAATTATTACAATTAGAAGAAGAAAAACAAAAGAAAATATACCCAAAAGCTCATCTACAAAATAAACTAATATAATATCTTATAAAAACACTACACAACTACTTCTTGTATTCTACCCTGAAAAAATTATCAAACTTACTAATTAATCAAACAAAAAAGAAAAAATAACCAAATTATCCCTTCACCTACTACTTAACTACAAAATAATAAACTATAAAAACACTACTAAACTATTTCTGGTATTCTACACTAAACATTATAATTAAACTTAATAAAATTAATCTAATTTTACACTACAACCACTACAACTACAAAGAAATATGAACATTTTTTAAAACTAGAAGAAACAGAACTTCGATACGTGCGACCAGTATAATAGATCAAGCGGACAAAGAATATAAAATACTTTAAAAATGTGCATTCAGAAAGAAAAATATCTCGAAAATTACCTAAATAAACATATTTTTTTCTTATCAGTGAAAAGCATCGGCCTCGTCGGCCTTGCGGAATTTATCGAGTATTTACAATGGTCGAATTGTATAATTACCAGCTTTTATAGCATATCTAATAGACAAAAAGTATCTGGTCGATTAGTAACCAATTGGCACAGTCCGAAAATTATCGATTTTTATTTTCTCTGTTTTTATTGGTCGCTTCAAAATTCAGAGTAACAAAAAATATTTTTCTGTAGTAAAAGACTGTGAAATACGCCCCGCCATCTGGTGCTTTACATCCATAAACGTCTTAGGTTGAGCTACTTTAAAAATTCATATACAAGGCTACTATACAGTATGTTCCCGGATTGTCTTTACAAGAGGCCCCAAACTTTTTTATTATCGATATTTTGAGAAAGATGCATTCTTCATAAAAATTTTTGCTTGTTCTAAAATGGTTAATCCCGTTTATACATGTCCAAATTTCTATATCGTTTTAGAGAAAATTGCAAAAAAAATGAAAATATATGGTTTCTAAAAATCAAAAAGTAATACAATTTTGATTTCATTCTTTGATAGGTGGTTATTATTAATTTTAATGAGTTTTTTATTGATTTTCCCATATCTTTAAAATTTATCGTTTATTGATTTTTGTAGGGGGTGACAGAAATCACAATGCAGGTCGTGCAAGTTTTAGAAGCGACGATGGCGGAATATTTAGTTTCTTTTTAGGAATGGGGGGTAGGAGATCAAGTAAGACTTTTATTTTTATAATAGTAACTTCCTAAAGTACTTCCTTTTTATTTGTTTGTTATAAATTTTTGTATATTCAATTATTTATGAGGTGGAGATAGAGAAAGTTCTTCAAGTTCAAGCAGAAGAAATAGAGAGTCTAGAACTAACCAAGAATCTATGGAGGTTGATAGTAATATAGCTGAAGAAAGCTCAAATCATAGGTAGGTTTTTAAAGATCCTTTTATATACATACGTACTAGCGTGTACCCGCCACTTCGTTCGCGTTGAATTAATCATTTGTAATGGTGATGATAAAGTAAAGCAAGAATTTCCATTAACATACAAACTGGATAAAATTTTTTCACATTTATGACAGCATGAGAAAAAAGAATATGGCTATATTATTATATAACTTGGTAATATTTGAGGGGTAGTTTCATCTTGTTGGAATTTGACTTTCGAAAAATCCGTTTGCAAAAATAAGCTTTTTACGTCAAGCAGTTTAAGCAGAATCGTGGTTAATCAATTACCCAACTTTTTGGAACACCCTGTATGATTTTTTAAAAAATTTCAAAATATGTAAAAAAACAAAATAAATTATGCGTGTCCAAGCGTTTTCCCGAAAGACTAACCGTTTTTTAAATAACAAATATTGTAATATTTGAGGGGCGTTTTCACCCTCTTCGAAATTGAGATTCGTGAAACCCCTCCTTATCGAACCTCTACACCCCACAGTCAATCCGTTTGCCAAAAATCAGCTTTAAACGTCAAGCAGTTTAGGCAAAATCGTGATTACTCAATGGTCGTATTTTATGAAACACCCTGTATAAATTTTTAAAAAATCTTAAAATATGTAAAACAACAAAATAAAGTATACGTGTTTAAGAGTTTTATCCGAAAAACTCACCGGTTTTTAAGGGTGGTTTCACCCCCTTAGAATTCGAGTTTCGAAAAATCTCTTCTTATCGAACCTCTACACCCTAAAGTCAATCTGTTTTCCAAACATCAGCTTTTTACGTCAAGCGCTTTAAGCAGGATCGTGATTAATCAATGACCAGATTTTTCGAAACACCCTGTATACATTTTTTTAATATTTGAGGGGTTTGGTTTGGTTGAATTTCGAAAAATCCCCTCTTATCGAACCTCTACACCCTAGAATTAACCTGTGTGCCAAAATTGAGCTTCTTACGTTGAGTGGTTTGAGCAGGATCGTGATTAATCAGTGAGTCAGTCACTTAAGGATTTTATATACCGTATGATCGCAAAAAAACGGCGTCCAGTTGGCTGGGAAATGACAATCGGTGACATTTCCCATATAATTTTACATATAAAATGACAGCGATTCATTTCGTAGCCATCGTTGACGCCGTTTTTATTCGATCATACGGTATTAGTATAGATTAATAATCAATGACACATCGGGATACAATAAAAAACAAAAATTTAAATTAACACAATTAAAAGACAGAAATTATCATCGAATGTGTTTTCAGAGGTGACTGCACGCCGTTTTTTTATTGATCGTATGTAATTTATCAGCGTTTATCATGCTAGCAAGAAAAAACAGTGCTTATCACAACCCATTGTTTAGCCAAGTAATTTATAATTGATGGTTTCTTTGTGTATATCCAAAGTATTTTAATCTAAAAATAAGTTATTTATTTACTCGGTAACGGTCTAATTAAAACGGTAAATATTTATTTTCGTAACAGAGTTGCCAGTTCTAGGGAATTTTCTCAAGGTCTAGGAAAAATCAAGGCTGTGAAAAAAGGGATAATTTAAGGAGATAAAGACTTACGTTCGCCTCTTCCCGCGCTTCAGCTGACAGTTGTGACGTCATTGTAGCCCTTGTCAAAGCCTTCGTGGCCTTGTCATGATAGTGTGTATTATTAGTTGCCTATGGTAAACTTATAAAAATAACAGCTGAGAAATTTTGAGTTAATTATTTTGTCAATTTTAAATGTGAAAAAGGTGTCTTTAAAGTTTTTAGAGCTATAGAGTGTATAAATACGTTCATTTTGTGTTGTGGATTGTGACAAAGTGCATACTAAGTGCCCACGATTTTGTTTATTAATTATTTTAAAGCAAAATATGGAAGTACTCTAAAAAGAATGCTTGCAAAAGGTGATGCTGGGAAGTGCTGTTCTTAAAAATGCATTATCCGAGTATTTAATACGATTTATACAGTTAATTTTCTATACTACATACATATAAGGTGTTTAAATAAATAAACTAAATAATGAACGTTTTGCATTCGGTAACCAATAATGCACGTGTGTGTATTATTGGTTGCCGGATAAGGACTGATAACCATGACAAGGGCTACAATGACGTCACAAAGCGAGTAGTTTTCGCATGCACCTGGCGGACACTTTTGGCTGAATGAGCAGTCCTATTAGGTTAACTGTTCTTGGATAAATACCGTATGATCGAAAAAAAAACGGCTGTGGAATATGTTAACAAAACAAGGAATTTGCAGATTATTATTTTATCATCTACAGTTCATACCAAATAAACTTTTACACAGCGTTGCCCACTGTTACACATTTTCTTTTAATCAAAATATTTCAGGAAACAAAAATAAATTAATTATAAATATATAAACAGTTATTATTTACATCAACAAAACTCATCTTAACAGCACTAAAGGGCCATTACTACCGCTTTCCCTTTCAAAATATTCTAATAAAGTTGCGATGAGTTTTTTACGGCTATTAAGCTATCTTGTACACAATCGACACGAAAGAGAATTAAAATTATTGACTCAAAACTGACAACTAAAGAGACAGCTTTATTTATTTGTGAAAATACATAGAAACCAACGTCAACCCAGTACAATATTTTTTCTACTCGTAATAAATTCCTTGAAATAATAATTTCTGAATATTTTTTAAAACGTAACTTTAACTAACGTTTTATACACGACGATAAAATTGCATTATCGTCTTCTATAAAAAATAAATATTAACTTCCTTGCATTTTTAACATATTCCACAGGGCGTTTCAAATTTTCTCACCAAGTTTAATGGTTTAAAAATATTTTAAACACAGCACTGCTGAGGCACCGACTTCTCAAGAGGTCAGAGCCGTTATTGAACACCACCCCGATCCGCAAAACCGCAACGAAGCCAACCAGGGTCGTCCGGAAGGGGAACAGTCTCTGGACACTATAAATGACATCAGTGACGTGCTTGTGGAATGTCTCGAAGTGCTCAGAAGGGAGAGGGCAAGTTTGGAACGGCAAAGGGATGATTTGGTCGAGGAAATGGCCAGTCAGGATAACCAGGAGAACGAGAACGAGGAGAATGCACAGAGAGAGGTGGAGGGAGGTCAGAATGAAATGCAGAACAAAGAGTGAGTAACTAGTTTTAGCTGAGAGCTGTCATTTTTGAAATATGACTCAAACTTATGTTTTTTTTTAAATAGGATACTTTTGTATTATTTTTTATTTTTTATTTTATTTGTCTTGTTATGAGCTTTCTAAAAATATAATAAGATATATATAAAAAGATATCGAGCAGCTCTTCATTTTACTTCATAGAGCAAATGATTGTAACAGATATTTTATTTAGATTAAAGCTGCAAAAATTAGTTTAAATCGAATTTTATTACCGCTATGTTGGTCACATTGCGCCGTGTTCAGCAATGTTGTCTTTTATTATTTGACAATTATGTTAGTGTCAGTCATTATTTTGAATAATATCGTGTTGTTGTTGAATATTTGTGAGCAATTCTCGTTTTTTTGCCTATTTTCATAGTCTTTTTTTTTAAATTGCACTTTTAAGCACAAACAGTTCTTTTAAGAATTAAATTTTCGAGTTTTCGTATTGCATTTCTTGAAATTGCGTGTTAAAAATATGCCGAAGCATTTAAACAGTCGAAGCAAAGAGCTTGTAGCTTTCCTGTTTTTTTTTAACTATTTTGAACAAGAACGTGACAATAAAGGTCCTTTATAACCCTTGACTGCAGTCAGAAAAGTAAGTTTGTTTGATAAGCACATTATACCACTTTCAAAGTTAGTTTTTATTAAATTCTGTGATTATCAGTTTGTGCATTACTAGCATCCTCTTATTTGTTATTACCATTTATGGCGTTAAGGTGTAAGACGTACATCAATAAATAAATAACCCATAATAACGCTTATAATAATCTTCATAATGAACTAGTTTTTGCCAATATGTAATAAGTAAAATAAGCTATAAAACAAATAAATCAATTAATCACTAAAATATTAGTTATTAAATTAAAAATAAAACGGAAAAACTCTTTAAAAAATGATATAATAAATATATTGTTTGTTAATTTTAAATTAAACTTCATCTCATAAATCCACCACAATCTGGCAGCGCGGTCGCCATCGCTTGTCACTTAAAGTTGATCACGTGTATCAGAAATTATTGTTTTCCGATTACCATACTTAATCATTTTCTGAAATTAGACATACAAAAGGTCTTAAGATCTATTCTTCTCTACTACTATTATCTTTTCAGTGAGGCTATGGGCTCCAACAACCCATCGACCAGCGCAGCTCCGTCAAAGTCCAACGGAAAAAGAGAAAAATTTGACAGCGGTCTGGGCGACGAAATTATCGAAGCCAGAGATTCTTCAGATGATGACGACGAAGATGAAGAGGGTGATAACATGAAACTGGACGCCATCTCTAGTTGCGACGAGGAACAAGCCACTTCCGGCCTGGAGAAACGTCAAAAACGAGGCACGCGTCGCGTGGCCAAGCTGAGAAGGATGGATTGTCGGTCCCGTAGCCATAATCAAGGTTAGTTGTACCGAGTGGCCAACTAAGAATAGACGCCGGCTGTATCTCAGAAACTACTTATCGTATAACTTTGGGAAAAAAATTCTAATAAGTAAATCGACCAAGAGAAATCGCTGGAAATTATTTTCATGTTTAAAAAATGTCCACTAGGGGGCGTTTTTCTGATAGCCAATCAGAAAACAGGGGTTTTCTCAAAAATATGCAGGTGAACAGGTATTTTAAATATTACTATTGTAATCATGAAGAAATTTGTAATTTTTTTGATATAGAGTATTTTTCTCTATCTCATAAAATAAAGTGGTGGGGGAAGGTTACACTTGCTTTTATTTAAGCACGGATAACTCTGGTTTAGGTTACCCGATTTAAACAAACGAGGGCTCGTTTAAAAGAGCTTTTCTTCCTCAATGATCTCCAGTATAAATTTCGTTTCCATAATTTTTTTCGTGGTAGCTAGAGGGCGCTGTTTGACATCAAACAGATATTGCGCTTTTGCATAAAAAAATAAATAGTAGGTTATGTTTCTTTTTACACAGTTAACTAGAGCACAAAATTTCCAAAATATCAGCGCAAATCGCAACTTTCTATCTTCTCTCTAACCGGAGATAGTAAGAGAACAAATCATGTTAGGCTGCCGCTTAGGATTATATGGTCTAAAAATTATAGTAGTAGGCTAGGAACAGCGTACTACTAGCAAAAACATAACACTTTGAAATAAAAATTTGTCCAAAAATTTCTCTGTTGCGTTTTTTGCATTTGAGTGTATAATCACAGATTAGGTATCCTATAAGTATACAGATAAAAATCTTGTCCCTAATTCGTGGTACGAAAATTGTTTTTTATGGCGATGTGCAAACGAGTAAAATTTCCTGTGCGCAAAAATAAACTCGCGTAAAATAACAATAAACAGCGTAATAGAGAGATATCGCTAAACCGCATAGCGTGCATGGACGTTAATAAGGCCAGGTGTTATTTCCTTTACGTGAGGTGCTATTAACTCTCTTCATTTATAGTTATCGGATCGGAAAGAATTCTGTTCGCGTCGCGTCCGCTATTTAAACTTAACCTAACTTTGAATTTAAAACTTGAAATTGTTTTGTTTACTAGGTATTTTAAAACTAAAGGGCTAAAGTGCTTATTTCCAGTGCTTTATTGTTCAACGTCTGCCAGTGGGTTTAGGGCAACAAGTAACAAATTCTCTTAGAAGGGTTAAGTCCAAGGATACTATAGAGATAAGGATAGTTCGATTCCTATCTTCCTGCACTGTCAATTTTTTTACGTCATCTACTGACCGAGTTGTAGTTGGCGCTAAAGATTTTAGACAGTGACAGTTATTTTTGCATTTGACGGACGAGCGCACAGTGCGTTGAAAGATAAATTTAGCGGGACAAAAGCGTTTGGTTAGAAATAAGCCAAAAAATGTGTACTGATAAGAATAAATAGTAGACATTCCAATTGATACAAAAATGCATGAATATTCTTTGTATTTCGATACACTTTTATCAACCAAATTTGGTCGTTTTCTGCTCAGCAAGGCAGAGATCATACGAAAACAAAATATTTACAAGTGCTCATACATTTTATTAGAAAGCCAAATTATGTTGAAGATTGCTAAAGGTATGTACTTTTCTACTGTACGTGTATTATTTGTTAAAATCCTTCCTGCCTTTGTTCTGCAGATATCAAACTTTCACTTTTTTTTTCAAATATCGATATATTGAATGATGTAGATCTTTTGAGTTACCAATAGTTACCAACACAGGTAGTTACAGTCACAGGGAGTTCAAGCTTAACAGATGAATGCCCAAAAAGATTCATTTCAATCGGATAGTATAAAAACAAAACAACTCCATCAAAAGACACTGAGTTTAAAAAATTGTCTTAGATACTTACTATATATGAATTTACAATTACCGAGTGTTAACATTAAAATTAAAATATCTATCTTATTTATTATTTTCAAAATAAAATATATTTTTATAAAATAAATTATAGAGGGTGTCACAAGATTACAAATTAAATAAAAAAAAAACTGCTAAAGAGTTTTTTGATATCATAAGTTTATGTATTTGGTAATAGTTTACAATACGGTTTTTGTGTGTCATGTACGAATAATATCATAGTTTTATTATCCTGTATTTATTTATTAATAAATTAAGTTGTTAATAAATAAATAAATTTAACCATATAGTTGCTATATATTAGACCATTTGCTACGTTCTTAGATTTTAAGTCCCAAACATTGCTCTTGAGATTTTGTCCCGCTAGAATAACCATCCGCCGCACTGTGGAGTGCTGGTCAGCGCGTGACGTAACATTCCACGGCGCCTACGACAGCGGCGATTTGACGCGATCGAACAGTCCTTTAGAATATATACAGTCCTTGGGCTAAGTCGTCATCTGCTGTAAACCTAAGCCTCTTTATTGGTTCTTTAATATTGGAAGAATAGTGGAATCCATATTTTGGGGCATATTTATTTAATTAAAACTAATCCCAGCTACTTAAATATCAAATTACCTAATAAAACTAAAGTAATAATTCAAAACGATTCAAACATAACCTAAAATAAAAGATCTCGCCGGCCGGCCCCGGTTGTCAAATACCCGCACATGCCCATTTAAGCAATTTTTAAACGTTATTTAGAAATAGCGTTTGGTGTAATTGATCCGCATATTACGTCAGGCGGTAACGTTATTAGCGGGTGTTGCGTTAAAAATTGACTCGCGCATATCGTAACCATGATAAGGTACGCGTAAATACTGCATGACGCTATTCGGTTTTCCGATATCTCTCTAATAACTGTGCCGGTCAGGCGCTGTGAACAATTTTACAGGCCATAAGTGGGCGTGCTATGTAAACTAGTAACCTAACTAGTGCCCGATTCCGAAAATTGGAGCCACGAAAAACAATAAAGAAAAAACAAAGTTTATAATCTGTATAATCTGTATTATAATTGATGTGGTATATTATTATATTTTTGTTTTTTCTAGATAACAGCAGTGAATTTGACACTGAAGAAGATACGAAACAAGTTGACAATGAATTGAAAATGTATCAGAGCCCATTTACTGAACACATGAAGGCCAAAATTCAGGAGTTGCCGCTGCCACTGATCCTGAAGAGATATTTGAATTACTACAGAGAATTCTAGGTTTCTACATACTTGGAAACATAAGTTCTCGTTTTTGGTCTCTGTATAAAGGAAAAATAAGGGGTTTTAAGGAGAATAGTGATTGATTTGAAGTGTTTATTCTACAGGGTGTACTAGAATTAAACAAAATGTTTTTTATATGAAAGGAATTTTTCATTTATCATTTAATAAGGAATCTAAATTTACTGAAACATATTTTTTGAACTAGAATTTTATAAATTATTTTATTCAGGAAAGTTATCATCTAGGATAATTTTTATACAGGGCGATTCACGGTGATCGTGTTTGGTTAGGCGTTTTTGGAGAACCAGTGATAGGATTTTTTTGAAAATTCGGGTTTTTACACAAAGGCACCCGCTTCATCTGTCTAAATTATTTTCAGCGTTACAGTGTTGCCGCTTCATTTCAAAATTGGTAGTATCTTTGTTATTTTAAATGGAACACCCGGTATATTATTACATTTTTGGAAACTACTTTGATATCTCATAATTTTTCTATTATACCAACCTTTATCTATCTCTACTAGTTTTTGAGATAAAAAAAATAAAATATCCGTTCCAATTCGGCATATTAGATAAGTCGGTTTGGATTGGTTATATTCGATATGTCTAAAAAACCGTTTGAATATCACACAGGGAGATCAAAAAAATATATATTCCGTTTATTATAAAACTGCTCAAATATTTGTTATTTTAAATTCAACCCCAAGTATATTATTTAAAATATCGTATAATCGTATAAAAAATCGTAAAAAAATACATAAACCTTCTGGTTTCTTCATTAAAGCCATTTAAAAGATAATAATTCTATTTATATTATAATTGTTTCGTTTAAGGAAAATCATTACCATGACAAATATTCAAACTTTGTAAGTATCAATTATTTTACTTGCTAAATTTCTAAATTTGTCATGGTAACGAAATTCTTGAGATGAAATTATAACTAGTATATGTAATATAGTCAACCCCAGAAACACGCCTATGAGGATTTTTTCGCGAAAATTTTTTTTTTGAAAATTCGGAATTTTTTGAATTTTTTCTTTGATTTTTTGTTAGTTTTTAATTAGAAAATTTTTTTTCTTGATAATATGACGGAAAAATAAATAAAAATAAATAAAGACAGAAAATCCAGAAAAGGTCCAGTGGTTCTTAAAATTTTAACAAAAATCATTTTTTTTGGAAAATTTCAAAGTAAAATAACTCCGTTATTTTGGACTTATTTGAAAAACGATAAAGAGAAAATATGTTTCTTTTTTCGAGATCTACCACTCCTTAAAATACTTGCACTTATTTCTGGGACACCCTGTATATTACACATGTTTTATTTTTTATCTCAAAAACTATGAGGTAGGTGAACAGAATAGGGCAATAGAAAAATTATGAAAAATGTAATAATATACCGGGTGTTCCATTTAAAATAACAAAGATGCTATTACTTTTAATATGAAGCGGCAACACACGCTGAAAATAAATCAAATAGATGGACTTTGAATTACCCTGTATTATAACAGAATGGTAAAGTAGGTCAAATAAACATATTTTTATTTTTTTTGAAAACATTTTTTTTGATATAGCTTATTAAACTAAGATTAACGGGCTGTACTGTATAGGATGTCTTATTTTTTATCATTATATCACTATTCTTCTTAAAACAAAGAGAATGAACTCAACACACGTGTAGCTATGGTAGATACATTGTATCATCTACATATTTTATACTCAATTTAAAAAAAAAAGAATTATTATTATAAAGATAATTGACTATATTGTTGTTCTTTTTAGTACGTAACCGTACGTTTTTCTTTACTTTGTTTTTTCGTTGTGATATAACCGAGGTTTACATAAAGAACTATATACTGAACACGTTACGCACAGGGTGTTGTCTTGATGTCTCGCGCTTTGAACTACATATGTAACAAATTGATACCCTAATGTAGCGTAATTAAATGTTTTCTTTTTTGTGCATTATATATACTTTATTAGTACTGATTTATTTAAATATTATACGTTTCGTTGTATTTTAAGTTAGTGTATTTTAGTTGTATTGAAATAAAGCATATTTTCAGTTAAATAGTTTTTTATTTTTGCATTTTTACAAAAAGAAATTAAATATCGATTCAAAACCCTCAAGGTATAGATTATGAAATTATTGAATTTCTAGTTTGGGTATTTCAAGTTATAATCCATTGGGGATCAAATACCTATACCGGGTGCGTCTCGAAAGTGACTCACTCCATAAACGAGATTTGGTATGTTAGTATTGTATAACCAATGACTAAAGAATATAAGGACATGTAACGCTCATATACGGGCTGCAGCAGAATTTGTGACCTTAGAGGCCATTCTTTTGATGGCAAACAATGAGTCATCATTTGGTCACCAGCGACAATTATAGCGATTTTTAATAGTTTGTGTGTAGTAAACTTTGTATAAACTTTATTACAATGGTGATAAGTTGTTTAGTTAGGTTAGGTTTAAAAGCAGCAGCGATAAGAAAGAGCCAGGACTTAGTTTCATAGGTAAATAAACAGTCCACTCCAACTTTTTAGCTTTTTCTTATTGAATGCGATAATTATACTTCAATTTCAATTAACATCTATATGTACTTGATATGTGCTATTCGTCGATACTAGTTTTGTACCTTTTGTTAACATTTTAATACGTTTTTTTCGTAATTAATTAGTATGATAATCCATAGGCGCAGTCAAAACAATTATCAAAAAATATAAATATTGCTTCAAACAGCTAGGTTAAGAAAAATATGTGCCACGGCACTGTTTGGTGACATCGGCACATTTGTCCTTGGATTCTTTAGTCATTGTATATAACATAAATTAGGATTGATTGACGTATTCAAGTGTTTTGGTCACTTCCTGTTTTACCGGAAATGACTACAACTTTTGATTTTAAATGGCACCCTCGGTATATTTCTACTTTATTCGATAGAAAACGACTCTGAATAGAATGACATCATATGTCAAATTTTGACATTTTCACTTTAAAAAAATCGTATTTTAAATTTCAATCTAGAGTGCCATGGCTGTGTTAAAAACACTATCTTTTAAACAAGGAGTCTTGGAAAAATAGATTTGATCGTCTAATGTTTTTCGTGTCTTGTCCTGGTCAGTTAAAAGATGCCCAAATCGCATTTTTAATCATATTTCAATTTTTTCAAACGGAACAATGGTGGCTCATTAGCATATATTTGGAAAAAGCATTTAATTTTGAATAATTTGGTACCACACACTTTTGGTATTTCGAGTCAAATTGTCGTTATGAATCGTATGTTACAATTTAAATAAACCATATGCGAAAATGTCAAAAGTTGACATATGATATGTTATTCTATACAGAAAATCAAAAGTTTTAGTAATTTCCGGTGAAACAGGAAGTGACCGAAAACAATTGAATGCGTCAATTAATCCTAATTTATGTCATATACTAACATACCAAATCTCGTTTTTTTATCTGAAAAAATTAAAAAAGTTATAGGGGTGCCGTGAGCCACTTTTGAGACGCACCCGGTATAATTAAGATTTTAAATAATAAACTTGATATGAAGCTTTTTCTTGGATCCGTGAATCACCCTGTAGGTATCTAATTTTTCAAAACTTCTTATCACAATTTTTATTATTTATAAGATTTTTGTTCTCCAGCAATTAAAAGTTTATAATATTATATGTTTATTAGTCAAGGAGAAATATTTTTTAAAGTAAAAAAAAAACAAGCCGGTTCGTTTGAAATAATTTTAAAACATACTGTAGAGAATAAATATTGATTTAAAATTAACTTCAAAATAAGTTGGATATATTTTACAGGTTTTCTGAAGTTTACATAATAAAATTTAAGTTTTTTCTTGCAAAGAACTTTATAAGACATATTTTGATCTAACCAACTCCCCTAAAACTCCTACTACAAACATTTTAAAGGGAGTGCAAGCCAAAAAATCTATTAAAGGATTAATATTCTTCGATTGCGCACTCAAAAACTCATTACAAAGTACTTTCGAGATATGAATAAGAACGATATACACTTCCGAAGTCCTCTGATATTGATTTTACAAGCGCTGCGCAACTACAATATTATTTTCTAACTTTCAACTCCATATTGGCATCACGTTCGAAAGTCCCGTTGCCACATCCTCCAAATTTCCTTAAACGGTCTGAAATATGTTATATCAGGTCAGTTTTACAGTCGGCACATTTTTTATAATAATAGGTATTGTATTAAATGTAAAGGCGGGTTCTCACTTGTCAGTTTCGCTGACGCAGTCTGACTGATTCAGTGATACTGAACAAATAATGAACGTCAGAACACATTTTCATGTTAAATGATCAGTAAATTCGTACTTTCAGTTAAAGTGAAAGCCAGTTCTACTTTTTTCATTTTTGACTGATCATTATCGAATAATGAATAGAAACTGAAGCATGAGAACTACATTTTCATGATTTGTTCAGTTTACAAGTTAAAGTTAATTAATTATTTTAATGTATATCTCCTTTCAGCTCAATTTTGTTTTAACCATTTTCATGTCTGCGAAATCACCACCAAAATGTTTGGACCAACTGAATACTGAATGTAGCAAAACATGAAACGTGTGAATACAATCGTTGATTTTTATTTTTCATTGATAATGAATCAGTCAGACTGCGTCAGCGAAACTGACAAGTGAGAACCCGCCTTAACGCTTTAATATTTTTTTTATGTGCATATGCGTTATCACTGGAATATTTTTCTAAAAACAACATGTACGCCACTGTATAAAACAGTGTAAGCAGTTTAATGCCAATTAAAAGTTACCTTCTAATATTTGGTCGAATTCAGCCTCCTTGATGAGATAAACGCAATGTTATTAATTTGCGTTGATCGAAGTCTAATAGCAACTTTAAAAAAAATATAATTAACTTGCGAGAGTTTTAAATAAGTACCCATGTAGTACCCATTGATTCCTCATCAAAAAATATGAAAAAAAAGTTCCTATAAATATGGAAATGCATAATTTTAGAATTAAAGGATGTTAAAACTTTTTAAAATTGGGTTTTTTGTAGTTATCTTAAATACCATTATTTTTTTATTTGAAATTGCTTTATGTTGGACTAATAGTAATAATAACTAATAGTAATAATATTTAATAATGAATTAGCTCAAATATATAATTTATTAATTTTATTTTTATTTTTATTTTATTAATTGTGATTAATAAAATTGCGTTTATCTCAACAATTAGGTTGAATTCGACCAAATATTAGAAGGTAACTTTTAATTGGCATTAAACGGCCTACACAATTTTGATATCAAAAGAAAAAAGTCAGTGGTGCACATGTTTTTTTTTAATATTCCAGTGAAAACCCATATGCACGTCCCCGATAAATTTATCGACACTTTTAGAATATTAAAAAATTTCATTCAACAAGATTAATTTTTGATTTTAAAAAAGTTACGCAGACTGTATTGGAGTACATAGCACATAATCTTGATTATTAATCAGATATACAGGGTGTTTAATAAAATATATTTAAAATAATAAATATTCCTCACGTAAAAA